TGCTGCTCAGCGTGGTACGAATTTGAATGATTCCTTGTAAACATCGACCAGGAAATTCCAGGTACCGAAGGCACAGGGAAAAGGAGTTGCTCGAATATGGAGAGCTACAAAATGGCACCTAACAGCCATGGAAAGGAAGGAAAAGAAGGAATTTACCAGAAAAAAAAATCACAAACAGTGCTGAATGAGGTTTAGCAGCTCAATATGTGAGATTCTCAGAAAAGCAATGCTAAATCAGGACAGGTAGCGGCCTCTGTCTGAAGGGATATTTTTATTTGGTTGGCAGCAGGAAGCATAATTTTCTTTATATGACATATATATCTAGAGTATGCCTTAATACAAAGTCAGCCAAAGCTGTGCTTTCCTAAAACAGGAAATTATATTTCATAATCTGTACAGCAAAATTTACTGGGAAAGGAAAATAGGCAAGTGTTAAACAACCTCCGAATGGAAGATGCTGCTGAATGTGGTATGATCAGTGATGAAAAACACTTGCTTTCTGCTGCATTTAATTACCTGCAGGGACACCTTTGCTTACTGCTAGATGCCTGTGAGGCAGATTAAATCCCTGCTTTCCAAACAGGCTGCTACAGAGAGGGAATGACCCCTCTGCGCTGTAAATTTTGCATTTTTGCTGGCACCCTTTGCAAAAATGATGCAAAAGAGGCATTTTGATTCCTTTTTTCTACAAACATGAGGTATCATTCATGACCAGAATGAATATATGTCCCTATAGACATGACTATAATCACAGTATTCTATATGCATTGCATACGGATGTATTATCCTTATATCCTTATCCTCYGGTGCAACATTGGCAAGGGGCTGTGGATGCTTCATTTGGAAAACTTATGGGTTTTTGGTTTTTTGTTTTGTTTTCCAGAAGTTTCTAGCTTCCCATAAGAGTGTGTGAGATGATATGGATGCAGCATTGTTATGCCTATATGCACGTTTCCTAATGCAAGCCCATCCTTACCAGTAAGTATGCAATGTGTTTCTTCTTTAAGGTATCCTCTGTTTTTTTTACAAGCTGTCACATCTGTTTCAGAGATGGAATAATGGTTCACAAGCAAAGCTACCTGCTTTCTACGGTGGTCTTGGGATTACACTGTTTGACATTCATTTGTGACTTATTTGTATGAGGAAGGAAGGGCCTAAATAATCTGCTGTCCAGCTCCACCTGCACTAGCAGGTACATCCACATCATGGCAAAAATCCTTAATTAAACCTAAAAAATTCCAGGCACCCTTTCTTTTTACCAGTTTTGTTTCTGGCAGGATGCAACTGCGCTAGATGAGGCGAGCTGGAAAGCAGCAGCGCTTTGTGATGTGGTTTCTGCTCCAGCTTTGCACCCCAGTTGTGCATAATGCTCTACCATACCACACGCTGACTTGTAGCCCAGAAAAAGGAACAATGACAAAAGAACCCTAACAATAAAAAAAACAAAACAACAACAAAAAAAGCACGGTGYTTTGCTGTGGGTTTGTTCTCGCCGCYTGTGCTCTGCTGAAAAGCAGGGCAYGTGGGAAATGCTGCCGCCCGACAGAACTGGGGCACAACGGGTAACTCCGGGTACATCTGTAATTTGGTTCTACCTGGCATGGTCCCCAATAGCAATCCTTGGAAGAAATAAAAGGGTTTTAATGCAGTCCTGCAGCAGTGAGAAACCGGGCTGTGAGCAGAAACCAGGCAGAAAATCTGGCACCAGCTCCCCCTTTCCAGCCCTCCCAAAGTGAATTACCACGCTAGGGTGCAGAAAAATCCTTTTCTTGGTTGGGAACATCTGCACCTTCTTATAGCATGACAAAAGCCTGTCTGATTTGTGGTATAAATGCTGTTTATTTTTTATTTCTGCTTTCTGCAAAGCAAAGGTACCATTAGAGGCAGTCCAGACAGAACAATCGCCCTCTGAAGAGCGTGCCAGAGACTCGTGATACTCGAAGTAAAGCAGCCTTTGGGTTGCATTTGCACCGTCTCCCTTGAAACAGTGATGTTTCCAAGGTCAGGAGAGTGTCTGCAGCAAAGGAAAAGCACAAATGAAACCAAAACACAAGCTAGTGTTTTGCATGGAAAAATGGCTCTACATATTCATGAAAAAAGGGGCAAGGAGTAGTATTCAAGTCAGTTAATCAGATGGTAAATCCAAAGGAAAACATAAAACAGAGTTTGGTTTTGCCTGTATTTGAACTCTGAGGAATGTGTGTGGCAGGCTCTGATTCTCAGCATGTTGTGCAATGGAAATAGTGAAAGAAAACTGCTTACCTGAAGGTTCAGCATTCATGGACATTCATTTGAGCATTCCTGGGTTTCGGCAGGCTCTGATGAATGTGAAGAGCAGTTGGAACAGCTGTGTAAAAGCCACGCTGGAGCCAAGAGCGTACGGACAGGAGAAGACCTGGGATCCACACAACTGAAATCCAAAGATAAGGTTCCAGCGCTGGCCAGCTGGTTGTTATCTTCATGCAGAACTTCAGCATATTGAGCAACCATTTCCAGATACGCTGTTCACTAAATGCCTTAAGTACAGCACTGGGCAATTCACAAGTATTTAGGGTAACATTGCCATAAGATTCTCCAAAAAAAGTGAATGAYGGTTCCTCAGGGCAGAACTGCTCTTTTCCGTGTGCTGCAGTGGCTTTGGAGTCACTGGTACGGTGTGGATTATTAAATAAGCAGAGTGATGCGAATTGGAGGAAAAATCTCACTATTTTGTTATGGSCTGTCAGTCATTTGTGTGCAGAAAACAAACTTGAGACTTACTAGCACAAACACTGGCAAGATGCTGAGTTTGAAATTTCAAGATTTATTTGTTTTTTTGAACGACTTATTGCAAACTTAAACTCTGTCTGCTTGGCTATGTATGCCATGAAACACTGTMCTGTTAGCCTCAGCCATGACTAGGCTGCCTCCAAATAGTGGAGCTTCCTTCGGCATTATTTACATGAATCTCTTGTCTCTTTTAACCATCTCCTCCTCTTAGGAGAAATCAGSATTTGTGGACATGCAGGGTTGCTATAAAAATAATTAGGTTTTTATGTTGGAAGTTTGAAGACAGATGAGGGAAAGAGAAAAGATTGGGGCTGCCTTATAAATGAAGAAAAATAAAAAACCTTGCCACTTGGCACAAAAATTACCAAACCCCATTGCAAGGAACCCTCTGAGACCCTTAAGCTCAAGAGCTCCAGCCCTTCTGAGATGGGAAGCACCTTGTGCAGGCTGCCTTCCTTTGTCAAATTCTTGTTATTTAGCTTAAACACCAACTGTTTAGCCTATGGAACGTTTATACTGCTCTCTCTCAGCTGCAGGGAGAAGAAGCATCCAAAATTTTAAAATAAATGCCCCAAGTGTTGCAGTCTGCTTGCTAGCTCTTTTGCCAGGATTCGTCCTGCCCTGTGTTTGCTGTGGACTGCACCCTTGACTGATGCTGATGAAAGGGTCCTTGATGAGGAAGGGAAAGCTTTGCCATTTAGAGGCAAGTAGAAAGCGTAGGTCTGTAGTCTGGTTTCTGYACATAAGATAGGATGGTTTGTAGAACCAGGAACTGCAGCAATGCCATTGTATCTACTCAACATTCATTATAAAAAAATAGGAATTATTTGSAGCATTTGTATCTAATACTCCCTGCTGGGTGGAAATCAGAAGAAAAAAAGAGAAGTTTCAAGTCAAAGCTGCCCTTGTCAATGGCTATTTTTTTTCCAAAAGGGGCAATAGCAAGAAGAGAAGATGCAGCTTGATCATTTCGTGAAGGTGATGCCTGAACCCAACCCCGATGAGGTGCCTGGTGAAAACAGCTACTGGTTGTGCTGCTCTGTGCAGAAATAAGCAGGTTTGAGGGTGGGAGAAGCTGCCAGGGTGCTCTCGGAGGACACCTGCTGGGAACAGCCTCATCCACAGAGCACAGGAGGGGACTGGAAGTTGTTGTGTCCAGTGCATGCAGTGGATGAGACTCTGCAAAGCTGCATGTGAGACAGCAGGAACTGTGAAAATTCCTCATCCTTATTGCTTGGGGAAGTGTGCACATAAAGGYTCCTGCGTGGCCATGGTATCTAGAAATGCAAACTGAGCTTTCTGTTTAATAAGATGTCTTGGGACCCTTTTCTTCTTCCAGGTGGGGAAGCAGGCACTTGCTTGGCAGTTTTCCAAGTAAAGGTATTGAATCCAAATGGCTGTTGCACAGCTGGGTTTCAGCGCATCTCTATGTGATGCTCGTAGGGCGCTCGTCAGGTGCACGAAACCAACCCGAAGGGGCATCCCGGCTCAAAACCTCCTCCACCGGAATACGGTGTTCTCTGGAGGAAACTGTTGCCAAGCAATTATTTTGTGGAGCACAAGGAGCTGCACAGTCTCTTCCTGAGCTCTCACACACGCATACGCAGCATCTCTTCTGCAGCAAAACCCCAGGGTTTAATTTCCAGCTTGTGCTTTCTGTTACGAACTCGAAGGCAGTGTTTAAAATCGAGCATCGTGCAAATTGGTCTCTCGGCACCGTGAGCGCGATCGATAAGAGCTCTGTATCTCTGATCGCAGAACATCCTTGTCGCCCACGACRGGCTGGTCGCCCACCAGGACCACGGGCCGTCCAGATGGGCGCTCCGAGGGAGCCGTGACTCAGCAGGCAGCATCGTTGCTGTATTCCCACTGCCAGCACCTCCTGTTTCGGCAGGCAATGCCAGGAGCCAACAGGGAACTGGGAACTGGAATTCAGCAGGGCTTCCCCAGGTGAGATTTTCAATGCTTTGGACCATGTTTTGGGTAATGAGGGCAGCTTTCAGCTCCGCATCCTTGCCTTTATTGCAGCGGGTCCTCCTTAAAAACGCCCGGGAAAGGGGCCCTGCTCTCCGCAGAGGAGGAGGAGGAAGGGGATGGAGATGAAGGCGGTGGTCGTGCTGCTGCAGGGGGGCAGCTCCGCGAAGGGGGGGCTAGCGGGGAGGATGGAGAAGCAGCCGAGGGCAGCTCCGCTCCGCCCCGGGGGCGGCGGCAGCAGCGCGGCCGCCCCTCGCCCTGCGCCGGCCCGGGAGCGCCGCGTCCCGCCGGGCCGAACCGAACCGAACCGAGCCGTGAGTGCCCCGCGACGGAGCCGGGGCCACCCGCGAGGCACCGCGCGTGGGGCCAGGGGGATGAAACGTGCTGGGGAGGGGGGAAATCAGCAGCAAAGAGCGCGGGAGGAGGAGGAGGAGTTGGGCTGCGCCGCGCGTCATTGCGAGCGAGYGAGCGGCGCCTTGGGTTTGCTCCATTTTCTCGGCTTCGGGTGGGTTTTGTTGTTTGTTTATTTTTTTCCTGCGGGGAATCGTGCAGGAGGCGCCCGGCTGCGGAGAACGAGCAGGGTCCCAATCCGGGCGAGCGCGTAATTAGCTCGTAATTAGCTCGTAATGAGCGACCTTGCCCGGAGTCCGCCGGGAGCCGCCGCCTCGCGCTGGGACAGCAGGGTAAGGGAATGTATAAGGGAGTGTAGGCGAGGAAGGCAGTATAGAGGTTAATATGGCTTCAGTAACGCAAGATCAAGCAAAGGCACATCGGAGTATTTCCTATATTTAGTTTCTTACCTGCTTGTAGTAAGATCGATAATCTGCATTGTTTTTATCATTTTGCAGTGTTGTCCCTCGGTATATTTCCTTTTTGTTGTTTGCTTCCTCCTTCCCGCCCCCAGCCACGTTTCAGTTGACCGAGGCTCGCACTTTCCTTAGCTTGAAAAACAAGGGAATGTGATTTGAGGCACACAAATCACATTAATTTAACCCCTGCAGTCCGCTGTCAGCTTGGCATGTGGGGAAAACAGGGAGATCTTCTTCAGCATCACGTTCTCATTATTTTTTCTCCTGTAAGGATCAYCAGTGTCTCAAATGTAGAATTAAATGCTCAAAACGGGCAATTTTCCTGGGATTGCTTTGATTTGAGACACCCACAGGGAGTTGTGCTTCAGCCACGTCTCCTATCAGCGCACGCCCACAGGCAAGTGGCTAAATCATTGAGGACGTTGGCAGGTTAAGAGTCTTTTCATTTCTTCTAATATACTTATTCAAGTAGCGTCCTGGCAGCTCTTTCTGTTCAGCAAATGCGTTCGTTTTCCTCATCCAAAGTTTCTGAAAGCRTTTTTTTTTCCTTTTTGCCAAGAAATGGTTTGTCGGTGTTCAATAGTTCTTAATGTTCTTAATTGCTTGTAATGTTGCAGAAACTTTGCTGTTGCTTCCCAGATGCAATACTGAGAAATGAATTAATCTCACAGTGACTCCCCCTTCAACCAAAATGATGGGAATTAAAGTATAGAAGCTCTCCGAAGGATAAGTGGGAAAGATAATGTATTTTGTTTTGTTCTGTKCCTGCGTAGGAAGAAAGGAGCAGCCGTTGACCCATATGCGATTAAATCAGCTTTGCCACTTTCCTGGATTTCATTAAACTGAAGTGTGACTGAGGAAGACTATGCTGCTTTAATCCAGTCATGCTGCATTCGGCAAGGAAGTCGGTGGAGCCTCTTTTCTTGTGAATCCTCTTGAAATCTGCTCCAGGGATGCAGGCAGTGGAAATGCAGGCGCTTAGAGCTTGTGAACGGAGAGAAGAAACACGTTGGTTTTTATAATTTGTAAGCAGTGGTTGCTTTTCTTGGTCGTTTTTAAATCTCTCATGTCACTTTGAAGTGTTTCTCACCTGAAACACATCCCACCATTTCTAGCACTATTGCATCTTTTTTAATTATAATTATTATTTTTTTTCATGTATTAATTAGTGGCATTATGGTAACATTTAAGCGTTGTTTTTTTTAAGGAGAGAAGAAAAAGCAAGATGTTTAATTTTTAAAGTAGGATTCCTTTTCATGCTATTAAAGGCATTCTAGGAGTTAGCTGCATGCTGTGGTGGGAACCTGTTCCCAAGGCTTCACTTTGGGTGCCAACGTGTGTCCTGCAGGTCYTCGTGCTGCGTGTGCCCTCGGAGCTGCCGTGCAGGGACTGCTGACCAACAGGCTCCGAGCATCTGCCAACCTGCCCGCGCGGAGCCAGGTCCAGCATCAGAGCTAGCGAGAGAGGTTTGTGGTGGTTTCCTTGCTTGCAGACGTCCTTCCRCTTCTCCCTTTCCTCCTACGCTTAAAGAAATACGTGCTTGGATAGAGGCGCCTCTCTCTAGGCAGTTTGACAGGCTGAAGTTTTTCGTTGCGTGAGCTAATCTCGCAGCAGCAGTGCTGGCATCGGAGCAGCCTCACGTGCTGCTTCAGTTAGATGATGTTTGCATTCCCCAAATAGCTTTCCGTATTATAATATAGCAAGGAAGGAGCCTTGAGCTGCGTGTTATCTCTAAGATAGCAGGGCAGCTGGGTCCTGCTAYGGAGCTGCTTTGAATGAGCAGCCACCAAAAGCATTTGTCGACCCTTTGAATAAGGGTCGCTAAGCAGAAAGCCTGGAATATAGATAAATTCTTAAAAACTGCACTTGTTTTGTCTCAAATGCTGAGAAATGGTTGAACTGTTCCCCAGCACCATGCAGCAACTGCTGCAGGCCAGACTGGTTCTGGGTGGGACCAGTCCCAGAAGGGAATATCTGGGCACAGGGTTTCAGTTTCCATCCGTTTGAATGGTTTCTTTCCATGCCATCCCAGCCACGTTGCCAAGAGAGGGAAATGCAGCAGACCTGCCCTGAGTTTGCAAGACCTGCAGTATAACTAGTTGGGCACTAAGCTGGACTAGTAAAATAGGATCTAGAAATAATAGTGGTAGTGGTTTAGAGTTGCTTGTATCCACCAAGTAATCTAAAGACCTGCAGTTGTTCTCATGTGATCTTTCTGGGGAAGTTGGGTCTTATATTTCAGCTTTATAGGTGAGGAAATGGMGATAGAGATTAAATAGTGACTCTGACAGCAAACTGGTGGCAGAAGTGGGAATAAAAGGCAGATTATTCCCCAATCTACCATTCGTTCTGCTCACAAGGTACATCTTGTTTAGTAGYGCCTGTTGAAAGAGTATTTTCCAATCTCTTTTTGTGCCAAACATGCATGTTCAGCAACACTGTACTGTTCATTCTGCTGGCCTAATGAAAAGGTAAATTAGGAAAATAAGCAGTATTGCATCTGCTKCAGTAAAAAGGATTACTCACAGTAAATTGAACAGTTTGCCTGGGGTGATATATYTCTTTTTGAAAGTATTGGTCTGGCTTGCTACCCTGAGCTTGTCTGTTGGGTATTGGAATTATTCACTGAGATGAAAATGTTTGTTTATGCTATCTGGATAATAAAAAGAAAATAAGCCGAGATTTGCTTGAGTTTTGTTACTTTGCATAGAACTAATCCTGTCTTTGAGTGGAAGATTACTTGGATGATATTCTGAAATCTCTCCCAGAATTGTTTGCACAACTCTAATGGTAAATAACTTYTGGCTGTAACAGGGGTCTAGCATGTATATTGGAGAGCCCTTTTTAGAGGTAATGAATGCTGCAACTGCCTGGCTTAGGTATTATTAGATTATTTTATCTTTTTTTTGCTTTTTCTTCTTTTAAACAAACTAGTTTTGAAAATGGCACCAAATCCTCGGAGAGAGGCAAGCGTATGGCGACAAACCAGAGCCCTTTTATTCAAGAACTGCCTTGTTAAGTGCAGGACTAAGAAAAGCAGTGTTCAGGTAAGTGGAGTGCTTGTTTGCTGTCATCTTGGTGCCTGCAGTTATTCGCAGTTTAAGTGGCTCTTGAATTGGAGGCAGCRTTCAGCTTCATTGCAGTATTTCTGAAGCTTCTGGGTCTTATTTCGAGGTTGAAATAGGTTTTCAGAATCTATTGCAATCCTCGGCCTGGAAATATGTATCCTAAGAATGATAACCTGACATTATCTAGAAGATAGCCCTGAATAATTGTGCAATCTTAGTGCACTTTCAAAAAGTGTGCATGCTTTCTAGGGACCGTAGCTGACTGGTATAGCAGGATGAGGCCTCTTGAAAAGATTTCTGTCTCTTCTAAAGGTTTAGCCAAATGTRTGATATTTAAAGGGAAATTCTGAGATGAACTTGTTTAGTGGCCATGGTCTTTGCCGTGCTTTTTTTCTAAATAGCGTAAGTTTATTGTTACTTAGAGTGGGTAGAATTATTCCTTTTTACCTTAAAACAACTTCTCAAGTTACCAATGCAAGCCATTAAAATCCTGCTACAGTGTCACACAAAGTTTTCACATCAAAGGCATTAAATCTGTTATTGCATTGAAATCATTAAGGAATCTTCATAGCCAAGTTAGTAAACGCAGTCCCTTCTTTCAACTTCGTATGACTCAGGATTTTTTTTTTTTTTTCCTACTACTGCTCTTTGAAATTCTCAATTTTTATATATTTCTTTGTACAGGAAGTCCTTTTCCCGCTCTTTTTCTTATTTTGGCTAATACTCATGAGCATGATGCATCCCCATAAGAAATAYGGCGAGGTCCCAAACACCGATCTTGGGACTCTGGACACCTCCTTGCTGGTGAATTTAATTGTTGGATACACGCCGCCAACCACCATGACCAGAGAAATCATGAAGAAAGTGGCTTTCGATAACTTTGAAGATGGTATTAATTAATTTTAATTAATTTTAAGCATTTTGTTTTTCTAAGTCTATCTCACACTRTAGCTTTGGTTCAAAGAGGATGGATCAGACATGTCTCTCCTGGAAGGCCTTGCTTTCCCATCACGGATATAGAACAGACCCTGAAGGCATTTGGAGCCGGTTGGAAATATTCCTGCATTGCAGTTGGAAGTATTCCTGCATTGCATCCTCAAAACAGGTCACATTCTCCGTGTGTGTATTCCTGCTACGTCGAGCAATTCAATCCTGTTACGTAGCTAAGAGAAAGGTTTTTAGAGCAAATGCAAAGTCCTCAAAGCCCCCAAACTCTTGGACTAATTAGTACTTAGACTGCAACATCCTGGGGTACGTTCAAGAGACGATACTGATCTGCATATGTTTCAGGTTGAGTTTGCAATCCTCTGGTTAGTATCAAAACAGCAGTTTTCTTTTTAATGRTGGTTCATTAGCACTGTGGCACCTCCATGATTTTAAGAGCCATTTTTTAAAGCACTGKTTTTTTTTTACTTCTGACATAGCTCGTGGTAACTGAGCTCCCCCAACCACTCTGATGTATTTTTAGTTTGGTATCTTTGATTCTCTGCCTTGTGGTATTCATGCTTCAAAGGTATCATTAATCTACAGCACAACCTGCTGTCTGCGTTTTCATTATGGAGATCCTCTTCTGTTTTTAGTAAATCATTCCACTTTCTGCCTTCAAAGCCTGTTCTCTCTTAAAACCTCTGTGGTGCTTTCTGTGGACTGAGAGCTGAAGTCCTTTAATTTCATATATTTAATTGTACATGCCAGTTGATCTGCTCTGGTTGAAAAGTACTGATACTTGAACATAAATTAAGAATTAGGACACAGAAGCTGTTAAAACAGAAGAAATGAGAGGGGAARAAAGGACTGAGGGAAAGGTGCTGGGCTAAATTTCTCTTTGAATTACTCACCCAGCTATTAGCATGGCACTCCTGCAGGCTTATGTTCATGGGAATACTTTAAGAGGACAAAACCATAAGCCTATATATAGCCGAATCCAAGCAAAACATCAATGACTGGCATGACTTTGCTTTAAAATAWACTGCTGCAGAGTTTTTTCTTGCTGCTGCGCTGATATCTGAATCCATGTGATCATTTGTTTTCTTGCAGGCATAATCACAGAGGAATATTTAAGTGAAGAAGAGCTGCAAGAGGCCAGTGCCTTCAAACCCTCAAACTTTGTGGGTGTAGTATTCAACGATGCTATGTCCTACCAGCTTAGATTTCCTGATTCTGTCACCATGTCTTCTCTTTACATGGAGTCAAGAGGTACACACACACACGCTTATTTTTGTTTGTTACAGAAATAAACTGGAATTTTGTTTGTTACAGGAATAAAGTCAGATCCTCAGTTTTCCTTTTTTATTTTTTTTATTTTTTTTCCTCCTGATACTGCMTGTTGATATTGCATCAAGCCATGACAACTTTATGTTTGGGATAGGACAACTGCAACTCCAGATTTTGTCTTTTTTTAAATACATTTCAAAATGCCTTTGTTATTCCGTAGCCAGTTGCTCCAGCTTGGTGAAAGGATGTGAATCCGTAACATACTGGCACTCGGGATTTACAGCTCTCCAAGCCTGCATCGATGCAGCGATTATACAGGTAAGGGCAAATGAACAGTGCAATAAGACCAGAGAAGTTCAAACCCTTGAATTGCATTCAGTCTCATTTTTTTTCTGAAGTTATCTGTTATCAGAATAAAATACCTTACTGAGCATTAGCTTATTATTAGCTATCCRAGGAGGCAGGACACTGATGCAAAATGAGAAACCAGGCAGGAGTAACTCTTCCTTCTTTTCCTTTTAGCTGAAGACTAATCGGTCAGTTTGGGAACAACTTGAATTAACAAGAGCTGTYGTTATGGGAGAGGCTGAAGTGATGGAAATAGACAGTTTTCCTCGTGCAATCATTTTAATTTACCTCGTGATTGCTTTCTCACCGTTTGGTTATTATTTGGCAAGTCATATTGTGGCGGAAAAGGAGAGGAAGTTGAAGGAATTCATGAAAATATTGGGACTTCATGACACTGCCTTTTGGTATGTGAGTATTTGGTATAACCTAATCATTCTAGAGAAAATGTAAAAAAGGAAAGAAAAAAAGCCCTCAAGCTTTGATAGACAACTGAAAATAACCTAACCAACTTGCTTGTGAGGCAAACATCACCTGTAAGGATTCTTTTGCTGAGATCAGGCTTGCTCACTGACTTCCAACTCTGCTTTTGTGCAGAAGAGTATTTTATTACCCTGCCCAGCCACTGGACCGACTAATGTATTAAATTTTAAATAGAATTTCTTTAATTATTGAAACATACTACTCAGCTTCCCTCTTCTGGTTAAACTAGGGAATGAATTATACACATTCCGAAAAATACCATGAATCATCCAGTGGTTTCTTGTTGAGGCAGTCGATATCGATGGGCATAGTCTAATGCTGCAAACAATTATATTAATATTTGCCAGAGCTCTGSTCTTTGGGCGGCTGTTGTTTTGTTTGTTGCAAGCCTGTTGCTTGGTGCAGCTGTCAGGAATAATAAGGAATTGCATTTTTAGCTACTTTGGGGAGTAATTCAGACTGTGAGTTCATTCGCTTGTTCTGTTTGTTTGTTTTTGCCTTTTTTTCTGTGTCTGTGTGTTCCTCCTTTTCCTTGTAGGCTTTCTTGGGTGCTGCTGTACACGAGTTTGATTTTTGTCATGTCCATTCTTATGGCAGTCATCGCAACAGCCTCTTCGCTCTTTCCCCAGAGCAGTGCCTTTGTGATATTCCTTCTTTTTTTCCTATATGGAATCTCTTCAGTAAGTATTCCCTATCCTGTTGAGTTTGGCCATCCGGTCCAAGAGTAGCTCATTCATYGGGTGCTGTCTTTTCTAGACAATGTGGATGTAGTTTTGTTAGAACCAGATATTTTACGTGTCCTATCCCATTTCTGCAGTCCCTGGTATAGGGACTTGTGCAGGTCTTGATTGTGGCTATGAGAAATTGCTTTCCTTAGCAAACCAATTATGGTCATCATCTGTCTTTGAAGAGAAAATGAAGTATATACTACTTCAAGGTCCCAAACCATCCCCACTTATACACATTTACTATGACTRTACAGTATAATGCCAAAGCCCTAATTAAAGAATCAATTTAGTGTAGAGCAAGTTACTTGTCCAAGTTCATAATCAAACAGTTTTAAAATATTTRTTTACCATGTATCTCTCAACACAAATTTACCTATGTATGCCTCCTGCAAAGAATGGATCCATGTTTTTCTATCCAAGTTCTCTTCTATGGTCCGTTGCCTGGATCTTTGGGAAATCTATTTCTCCTGATAGTCTGTTTTAAAAGGACATGTGGGTCTTGGGTTATTGCTAACTTGTAAATAACCAGGAATGCAATTTGGTTACCAGAGATGAAAATGAAGTTACAATCTTTCTTTTATATTTTTTATGCCTTGTTATATTTTTTAATATATATATCTTTATCTGTTTGTAGGTTTTCTTTGCACTTATGCTGACCCCTCTATTTAAAAAGTCAAAGAATGTGGGTATAGTTGAATTTTTGGCAACGCTGGCTTTTGGGTTTGTGGGTCTTAATATTGTCCTGCTGGAAGATTTCCCCAAGTCTTTTGTGTGGATTGTGAGCCCCCTGTGTCAGTGCACCTTCTTGATCGGCATCGCAGAGGTAAATAACCTTGCACTGCTCGAGCCCAGCCTTGTAGCAGTCATTTGTCTGGCATCACCTTCAAAACAGGAGAGATACTGATATTTTTAGTGTATTTTTTTTTTCTGTTTAATGTTGACGGTGGGGGAAATTGCCTATTTAATAAGTCTGTATGGCAATTTTATTATCAAGTAAAATGCATCAGGCAACTATTACTCGTTGTTTTCGTTGTGACCTCAGTTGCCCTTTGATCTTCTTCCTGAGTTTTGCACCATGCTGTCATTTCACTCCGACTCATAATACTGCTGGTCTGTAACATTTCAGTGTGTCCATGTTTGTTGGCAGGTCATGCATCTAGAAGATTATGAAGATGGTGCAACATTTGCAAATCTAAATCATGGCCCTTACCCACTCTTTATCTCTCTTATTTTATTGGTGCTGGATAGCATATTTTATCTGCTTGTAGCTGTCTACCTTGATCAGGTTATTCCAGGTATGTTCATGCAAGAAACTGAACTGTGCTAACATCACAATTTCCTGAAATTCTGAACCCCAGTTTTGAAATCAGTGGCATAGGTGGCATTTTTGAGCAACTAGGTCCTTCCTCAGTGGCTCTGACATCCTGTGGTATTGCTGTCCTTGATGGAGAAAGGATATGGTGCCTGCTGTTTACAAATATATTTTTAATTATGGCTTAGACCAGTTTTTCCTGAATAATTTTAATTATAATAAAACTGTGAGATGGGAGGATGATATTAGCATAGTTAGAATTGATAGCTTTAAGATATATCACTTTTTTTTGGATCACACAACTTTTWAAAAGGAAAAGCTTCTTGCTGGATTACTGTRTGTCTCAGCCTTTGCAATATGTTTTTACAGGGTTGAAAATTAAAGACTACTTTTCCTGTTCCAGATCTTTCTTTGTGACAGCAGTAGTTTTAACAGAGAATATAGAAAAATGTTGTTAATCTTGATACTAATCCCGCGTCAGGCTCTTCAGCTTCCTTTGCTTGCGATCTCAATTTCTTTACATTGTGTGTATTTAAGTTATCGTTCCTTCAGTGCTAGGATTTTGTCCTGAGTAGAAGGAGATTTCTGCATGTRTTTAAATACTTAAACCAGAATCTGAAAGGAACACTGATAGGAATGATGGTTTTAATGCAGATAATGTAAACTTGGCTGCCTGAACCTCTCCAGCATCAGGCTTGGCTCCTAAACTTGCAACACGATTGCTCGTAGGTTAAGTAGCCCAAACTGCAATGCTGAGGTGTATCTACAGTTACTGTTAAGAAGTTTTCTTTTTTGCCTGTTGTTATTCAGGGGAGTTTGGACTACGCCGAACATCACTTTTCTTCATGAAGCCCTCGTTTTGGTTGAAGCGCGGGAAAAATTACAAGGAATTGTATGAGGGCAGCGTCAATGGCAGCCTGAGTTTCAGTGAGATGGTTGAGCCCGTGCCTTCCGAATTTCAGGGAAAAGAAGCCATCAGGTATGACTCATCCCATTGCCCAGGTTCAGCTGAGCAGATCACCTCAATTCCTGGTGTTTCGAGTGTGAGTCGAAAATTGCTCTTGTGTTTCTAGCGTGTTGATTCAAATAGCATATGGTATGCATTGCAGATAGTTCTCCACACACAGCACAGCTATTTTCCATTTTCAATGAAGCCCCATCGTCAACTGCGTGGATGTCCTCCAAGGATAAATCACTTTGCTTAAGGAGAGGATTTGTTTGTGTATTGTATTCCTTCGATTGGAGTCCTCTCAAAACCAGTCAGTTTTCCATTCCTTTGATTTCACTGAGGCCACGAGAGGCGTAAGTGTTTGCAGATGTTGAAACGCCTACTCTTCTGGGAGGGTTATTTTCCATTAGCACACATGTGAGTCTTGCTGGAGAGAGAGTTAAATTCTAGGTTTATGCGAGGGCTAAGTTCTTCATAAATGGGAGAACTTCTTGGTTGTTTTACACCAGATGTCAGATGTAAAAGGGCGAAACAAAACCTGAAAAGGTGCTCTGCTTGCTTTCAGCTTTCAAGCTTTGTTTCATGTTACCTGTTATCTTTCGTCTGGCCTTTTGTCTGAACTGTCATCTATTTCCAGTGCTTCTCACAGATTATTTTCAGAATGATTCCCTTAGTCCTTGTTTTCATTATTTTCCAATAGAATAGCACGAGAGAAATTCTTCATCTTCATCCCTCTTTCTTGGCTTGGTTAGGCTCAAGTAAATACTTGAGCTTAGTGAGCAGAATTACTCTGTGTTGCGTGTTGCCCATGTGTCTTGGTATGTCCAGCACATGATAGAAGATCTGCTTTTCCTCCTGATGCTCTCGTGTTCATGCAAGAGCACTGTAGCCTTTGCTCATCTGCCCTGGACTCTTTCCATAGCATCTCTACTAGCTCTCTGTTGTTTTCCTCCCTCTTTTGCCATCTTTGTACRTTGCGATTTTGTTGTCTTTCATTTCCCATCCTCATCCTTTACACTTGTAATTCACTCCCTGACCTCTCCAACAAGCCTGCCAGGCTTTCAGATGCAGCTCCAAGACCATCTTTCACATCATTCCTTTACATAACCTGCTCAATTTGTTTTTGTTGTCTTTTTTTCCCACTTTGAAAAACATTGGGACTAGAAGGAAGGTTTTTACCTTCTTTGGAGGGAAAGATACCTGTGTTTCTTTGCCTTTTTTTTTGTCAAGAACTGTCAACAGGTACTTCTTGGAGTCTTTGCTACCAACACGYCTTTTGCATATCCTGCCTGCTAAATCTTCCATCAGTCTGTGAAATCACTGAGGGATGGTTGTGCCCTCTTCTCTAGTATAGGAATTCTTTAGTGCCTTATTCTACTCTGTGAAAGAAATGCAGATTTGAAATTACTCAGTCATCATAGATAATAAGCTAGTAAGGTGTTGAGAAAAAGCTTTTTGAGACCAGTGTGGAGATGCAGTGAGTCCTACAAGATCCTCTGTCTCTTGATTGGCCTCCGTGGCTCTTTAATGTATTTTGTGCAATTTTAGCAGGGTGGGTTTTTTGGTTTTCTTTGGAGATTTTTATTATTTCTTTTTGGTGATTGTTGCAGAATGTTGATRGATCAAAATTACGTATGAAGATCTTAAAGTAGTTTATAAAATGACGTGTCTTCTTTCAGAATCAGCTGTGTTCAGAAAACATTCAGGAAAAAGGGGGAAACTGTGGAGGCTCTCCGAAGTAAGAACATTTTAGCTTTTAAGCTGCTTATGAGATTCAGAGGAGCACTAGCTGATTTTTTTTTTTTTTTTTGTGGTCTTTTATGTTTTGATTTGGCTTTTTTGGGTTCTTTTGGCGGTGGGCGGGGGGCACTTGGCGCATGAACACCGAATATGCTTTTGTGTGCCTTCTCTCACTGCTTGGGCATTAATCCTCTGAAACAGTATCTGAAAAAGAGGAGCTCTTCTGCCGCTAAGAGAAAATCTAATGACATCTTGGTCTTTATTTCGCCTCCATTCGTGTCGTTAAGCAATGTGATCTTCCCAGTCCCATTGCCCTGTTCCTTTTCATGTCATTTCCCATGTGGCATGAAACCATATACTGCTTTTAAAGCGAGGTCTCGCCRTAGTCGGTGCGAGCAGTGGCTGTTCCCAGCTTTGTTGGCTGCTCTTGCAGTGCTATCCTTGCTGTACCCAAGAGCGGAGGTAAGGTGTTCCTTTGAGCAGTGTCTAAATGCATACCCAATATGTCCATATTTGAATTTACTTGTGTGATGCAAGGCTGCTGGGGGTAACACAAATACATCACTAATGTCTCCTCTTTCCCTGGCTTTTGCCTTGCTGGGCTAGATTTATCCTTTGACATCTATGAAGGACAGATCACGGCTCTGCTTGGCCACAGCGGGACAGGAAAGACAACACTSATGAACATCATCTGTGGGCTTTGTCCACCAACGGATGGTGAGTTTCCCGATTTTAGAGAATTTTGGCTTTTTAATCATTAACATTAACCTTTGATGTTAACCTTTGAGGTCATTCCAGGTGATGCTAACTTTTTCTTTGGCCTCTGTCTCAAAGTGATCATTTTAGACAAATGCTAAATCATTTTTAACTCACCGTACTAGCCTACTTTCTGTCTCAGTGTAAAAACCTTCATTTGGTTACTTTTGGCTTTTTTAGGGTTTGTCTCTGTCTACGGACACAAAGTCTCTGAGATAGATGAGATGCTTGAAGTACGACGAATAGCAGGGGTGTGCCCTCAGCTAGACATAAACTTTGATATATTAACTGTAGAGGAGAATCTCTCCATATTTGCTGCAATCAAAGGAATACCTCAGAATGACTTGATACAAGAGGTAGGTCAGCTAGATCTCAGTATCATCAYTGTGTGTTTATTTTTAATCTAGCTGGATTAACAGCCCTGTGCTGCAAAGACACTTCCTTTAAGATAAGTGTTCCAAAGGATGTTAGTTTACAACAAAACTGAGGAGGCAGAATATTGATATTTTTACAAATATAAATAGCTAATTTTTCTTAGGAGATTAAAATGCTGATGAAACGTTTAAATTCTAGCATTTGTGTATGAACATATGATGGTATCTTTGAACTCTTACAGTTTTGCTCTAGCTTAAGTCCCTGATTTGGACCTACAGGTCTGTTAGGAGGATGCACAGTTCAAATACCCAGTGCTCTTGTGAATTAGAGATAGTTAATCTGAATGCTTAGAACTGTAATCCTGTAAAAAGTTTGTAGTGCCTTTCTTTTATTAATAATAACTCTGCTGCTTATTTTTCGAAGGTGCAAAAAGTGTTGTTAGATCTGGATATGCAGCCGATCAGAGACAATCAAGCTAAAAAATTAAGTGGAGGGCAGAAAAGGAAGCTGTCGTTAGGAATTGCTATTCTTGGAAATCCAAAGGTGAGTCTAACAATTGGATTCTTGTAGTCTCTAGTAGACCTAAATGTTTTGTTGCTAAAATTGTGTAATATATGCATTTTATATGAAATTTTTCCAGTTGCTTTAGACAACTAAAGAGCAACATTCAAACAAAGGCTTGTATTGGTTATTTAAGTAGGATTTCCTGGGATGTGAATATAGGTTTGAAAAAGTTTTCTTGATTTTGCATCAAGGTTTTACTGCTGGATGAACCAACTGCGGGAATGGATCCATGCTCACGCCACGTTGTCTGGAATCTCCTGAAAAGCAGAAAAGCAAATCGTGTGACAGTCTTCAGTACTCATTTCATGGATGAGGCAGATATCCTGGCTGGTGAGTTCTGGTATGATGCAGGGTGATATAGTCCTAAAGAAACATATTATTCCTTCAACCACTGGAATACAGGATTATTTGAAATACATAGTTTTTATTTATTATTATTATTATTATCATCATCATTTATTAATATTATTATRAACAAGTGGACCGTACTCTGATTGAAAGGACATTTTGATTGTGTTTCTAGATCGTAAAGCTGTGATTTCTCAAGGGATGTTAAAATGCCTTGGATCTTCTCTCTTTCTCAAAAGCAAATGGGGAATTGGCTACCGTTTGAGGTACTCTTTTTATGTCATATTTGCTACTTGGTGTTACCATTGAAATTAATCCAATAGCATCCYACTGCAAAAAAGAAAACGGCAAAAATACCCTTTTGTCTTCCTCGTACTAAATGTTTTGTGTTCTGTTGGCCAATGTTTCTGGTATAGATATATAAAAAAAAATACATTTTAAAAACCATTTTTTTTCTGCATATTTTATCAGTATGCACATAGATGCATATTGCAACATAGAAGCAACAACATCATTGATAAGACAGCACATCCCTGCAGCCAACCTGGTGCAAGAGAACGATCAGCAGCTTGTGTACACATTGCCACTCAAAGACATGGACAAGTTTGCAGGTATTGCTGCTTTCTTAGGGGTTGCAGGGCTGAAAAAATGTAGAAGAGAAATCTGTCAAGCGTGGCTGTGGCTTGCGTTGCTTTTAAATGTGTTATGTTGTTATTTCTGTAGGCATGCATGTCTATACATGCTTGGGTTTTGACTGGGATTTTGCTGAAGTTCTGTCAGTGAGGTCTTTGATTCTCCCTGGGTTGCTTTTCTCAGGAGGGAGAGGATTTTCTCCCTTCCTCCAAGGGGGTTGTGGTTTATTAGGAGTGATGTGGGAATCCAATAGCAAATATTGGGAAAATGCCTTTTAGCAGAAGTGTGGAGATCTTTTGGCCAAGAATGCAATTGTCTTGTAGAAGCGCTGACTTCTTATTGCAGAACATTTTCATAAACAAGGCTGGCATCCAGCAGGAAGCAGAAGGCACAAGTCCAACAGTAATCTCTTGTTGTGAACTGGGAAGAACACTGTGTCGTTCCATTAAAATGTGCTGGTGAAAGAGGGAGAATGGAACAAATGGGCTGATTTCACTAGGTGGCAGCAATTATCTGCTCAGTCACCCACAGGGCTCCTTGTTTGGCTCCCAGGAGTAAACGGAAGAAACAGTACGTCCTGTTCACAACGTGAACAGCGAGGAGACAGCACCAATGCAGATGTGACTGTGGATCAGATTTCATAAATACCATTTCTCGTTGCATTTCACCAGTAAATAATTTATTGCTTTTCTCTTTAGTAGTCACTGAGGGTACTTTTGAAAAATAGGCATCCTTTTGCAAGATAGGATCAATTCCCCCAAACTCTTGAGGCAGAGCAGAGGTTGGGAATGCTGTTGAGGTAGAAAACAAGTGTRATGTGGTAAGCTTCACTGTGTGTCCAGATTGCCCTTCCCAGCTTCATGCATCTGCTTTTCTTTCAGCTTAGCTTTGACACCAAAGCTCCTGGGTTTGCAGAGTGCTTCATTTCATAGGATTGGCGAGAGCAGGAAAATGGTTTTTCTCCTGACGTGCTAATGAGTGCTCTCATTCTGACTGTAATTTGGTCTGCAAATTACACACATCAGCCGGAATATCCTGCTCAATTAAAGTAGCCTTTCAGATGTGGGTAATTTTTAACATGAAATTATTCGGGGTTTTATCTCTAAAATTGCTTCATGCTTGGGCTCAGGTTCGTGTCAGGTTCTAGTGCAGTCCCCATTCTGGTGTTTCCACCAGAGATGTGTTTGGAGCTGATGGGCAGCTCTAAGCACAGGAAGACTTGTTGTAAATACCACAACTTTGGAAAAAATGAGCAGTATTTTCCCTAACAGACAACACATTTCAGAAAGTTTTGCACTTAAAAGAGCTTATCACCACCTTGGTTCTTACTCCAAACTTTAATGTCTCAAAAACATATGTTTACATAGTACTGGCTTTTTGCTGGAGGCTTTAGAGATGCAAAGTGTCCAACTTAAAGTGTCTTGGGAAGATGATGTTGCTTCTTCAGAGCAACCGACATATTTCATTTCTTCCTCTAGGCTTATTTTCTGATCTTGACACTCATTCGCACTTGGGTGTTATTACCTATGGTGTTTCCATGACAACGCTGGAGGATGTATATCTGAAGCTGGAAGTTGAAGCCGAGATTGATCAAGCAGGTGAGACAGGCCTCCAATATTTTCCTTTTGTATTTTCCCTTTTACCCACTTGAGTCTTAATTAGTGTYGAATTGTCCATGCTATGACACAGCTTGAAATAGTTTCACTACAGCAGTAGATTAAAAAAATCCACCTGTAAACACTCCATCAGGCAGTTTGGGATGCTTCAGATCATGAGTTATCCCAGACTGCTGAAATATTCAGAAGCAGGGAGTGATCTGGGGATTGGAAGAGAACAGATTCCAGGGGGATTAGGAAAAGCCTTTTACTGGACATCTTTGCAGTGTTTAATTTTTCATCAAGCTTACTTACATCTAACTGCTTTGCATTATGGTGCCACTGCTTATGGCCATGTGCTTCATCTTCCTTATGGACGTTTGTACTTCTGTGCAWTTGTAGATGGACAAAATATAATTCATTTCCCACTATCTGCTTTGGCATTAATATTTGTAACCTGTACTTAGGGCTRAGTAACCCCCCTTCCTTTGAATCTAGTTTAAAAGTCTGAAGAAAAATACATGGCCTCCAAACTTCTTCCAGCCCTATGAGTCCAAGCTCCCTAGTCATTTTTTTAATAAGTTTCCTCTTATTTTTTTCAGATTATAGTGTGTTTAATTCCCAGCAAGTGCAGGAGGAAATCGATACAAGATCAGTTGATGATCTGGAACAGAACCTGCTGGTGTTCTCGGAGACTAAATCGCCTGCAATGAACAATACAGCCCTCTGGAAGAAGCAGGTTTCTACTATTGCAAGAGTTCACTTCCTTAGTCTCAGACGAGAAAATAAATCTGTGAGAGTTATGTAAGTTTTAAGGCTTTCTTCTTGGTATATAGAGTTCTCAAAACCTGTTTGAGTAACAAGAGAGGACCTGGAGAATATGATTTAATATATATTAGTAGTTACGTCTAAGCAGTAACAAATGTGAGACTATGTTTTACTGTTGAATACATGCTTTTGGGGTGAAGGACGTGTTGTTTCAACTGACATGCACATAAACTGGCTCTGCTTTCACTGAATTGTAGTAAAAATGAAACTTTTATTTCTTTCAGGTTATTGCTTTTTCTGATTTTTCTTTTAGTTCAGATTTTTTTGTTTCTTATACACCACTACTTCAAAAATTCTGTAGCTCCTATCAAACTTTCCCCAGATTTGTACTTGCTGAAGCCCGGAGAGGACTATCACAAGTACAGGACTCGTCTCCTCCTGCAGAACTCCACAGGTAGGGCTGCAAACACCAGCCTCGTGAGCTCCTCACGGGTGACTGTGGAGATGGATAGAAACTTCATGAGCAAATATTCCKTGAAATTATTCCAAAGAATTTGTCGTAAAAGAGTTTCAAACTTGGTAGAGAATAGGTATCTGTCAGTTCAGAGGTAATACTTCTTACATGCATAATACTCCCATGTTGTTTCTGGAGAAAGAACAGGACTGTTTTAAATGACTTGGACCGAGACTGTATCAGAGATGTTTGGATATGTCAGCTTTAAAGACTGAATGCAAAACACTGTGGAAAATCCCATTTTGTTTCAATTCAGAATGCTTAAAGTTGTGTAGCTGCAATATGTGCAATAGAATCAAACCTATATTTGATCAAKCCAGAATATTTACATGCCACTGTCCTCCAAATACCATGTCAGAGAGACTGATTTCCTGCCTTTTTAGTTTATTCTCTGTCCTGTTGAAACTTTGAGTATTCTGGTGATATTTCGTGGCACCTCCTGCCTGTTGCATTTGATCTGTACAACTTAAAAAATGTAGCTGCGTTATCCAATTTTTTCCTGTAACTCCAGTCAGGCTGCTGAGTGGGAAGCTGAAAGCAAAACATTTGTGGCGTTCAAAATAGCAGAGGATATTTGKGGTCGGCATGTGCAGTGAAACCCTGCTCTTTCACCAAGGGGTCTATCAGTGAGAGAAGTTCACTGCTGTTGAGTGGAAAATGAGTTGATAATTTTGTGTAAAAACATTCCAAGCTGCTGGAGAGCAATAATGCCGTTTTCTTGCCTTACGCTAGATGCGGATATCGATGACATTGTCAGCTCTCTTGGGAGCATGGACGTGCTRTCCGAGCTGGTCAATGACAGTAATTACGTGGCAGCAGCACCGCACAGCGCAGCTTTAAACRTTTTTGAGTCAGGAAAGGTAAGAAAGATGGAGCTGCATCCCCAAGATCACCAGTKGTTGGCGACTATTTTGTGGCATTATTTCCCGACCACTATATTCAGAATAAGCTTAGCGAAGTTAAAACCAATGGTTCCTTTGATGTGATAGATTTTTATCTTTGCTCTTCAGATGAATATTTGGGAACACCTCCAGGTAGTGAAATTGTATTGTGGGTTATTTTTAGTAAGATCACATTCTAAAATGTCACAAGGGTTAAAGGAAATGCAGCTAATGGCAGAGGCTTGAAAAGTTCATGTGTTAACAGAATGGAATATTATCAAGATAAATGTTCTTCCTTGTGGCARTTATTATAGTGGTTTAACAAAACTKCCACCCTGTTTTCCTCCTCGTAAAAATATAAAAAGCCAAGAGAAATATTTTGCTTCACAAGAGACCTGGCACATGTGGTTTATTTTTTTTTCTCGTTATGCAATTTGAATTATTCAGTTTGACAGAAGAATAATTCCACAGTGCTCCCATATTTCTTTCTTTTTTTTTTTTTTTAAATTATGTTTTGTAGTAAGTATTTGCTTCAGGTCATTTGTAGAGTGTCAGCCAAATTTGATTATTTGAATTGTATTTAGTGCCTTGTTCCCATTTTCTTTTGTTGCAACTGTTAATATTGGTATGATAGTGCAGTGCTTCACTAATGTAGTGTTTTTTAGTGAGAAGTTAAGATACACAAAGCTCTACATTCATGTTTTTCACAGCTGTACTTGGTAGAGCATCATTTATCGTAGTGCCACAGTTCATAAAACATTTTAGGAAATTTATTCCAACTGACTTGTTTTGTATAAGGATAGCAACTTTACTGAATTGGGGTATGTACTAACTAGCCAGGACAGTATAGACCTCCCTACAAAGCACACTTTGTTCTGCAAAGACTTTTATCGAAGTTGAGGTGTAATTTTGGCCATAGTTTGCCCTTGTTCAGGGTATTACCCTTYGTGCAGAATAATTAATAAAGCAAATACATTTTTTCCCCTAGTACTACCTTTTCACCGTCGCATTCAACAGCACCATGGTGCATTCCCTGCCAGTTTTGTTCAATATTGTGAGCAATCTCCTCCTTCGCAATTTGAACGTGACTGAAAGCATTCAAATCTGGAGCAACCCTTTTGTCAAGGTAAGCAGCACCCCTATTAAATTAATCACTATTAAAAGAGCTCACGGCGTGGTTGTGTTTAAGCTCGTAGCGGGCAGCACGTGGTTGCTGCAGCCCTTCCAAAGCTGCCCCGTGGGCAGGAGGCACTGCAGGGATAACATGCAGTAAATGAGAGATTTTGCCTGCAATTTGGAGAGGCTGGACATGGGGTCTCCAGGGATTTGCCTCCTCCCGTGCACTGCAGGGAATAACCTTTGGCAAGGGAATTCTGGAAAGGCTAGAGGCAAGCAGGAGAGGAAAGATGCATCYCTCGATAAATACTCCAGTGTTGGACTGGAAGCTGCAGGAGATGCTGCAGTGGGTAAATACTTCACTAGTGTATTAGACACCATAATTTATCAGTACTCCAGAAACTTCCATAGGCTTTTCTCTCTCCTTGCAACTGCTCAGGTGAGTTTAAGATGTATAAAGTGTATATTTTGAAATATACAGTCTTGTTCCAGYTACTATTGCAACTCTAGTCACGCGTGTCCTAAATTTCATGGTATTTYTCTATAGCTGATGAACTATTTTTTTGGATTAGCACATGAATGGAACATGCCATAGTTGAATGTTTTTGTAGTCTATGCTAAAAACAATACAAGTAAAAACAACGTGTAAAAGGAGTAAAATTTAATGTCTGATTCCAGGCATTAATACCTTTAAAAGCATATATAACACAGTATCTTTTCTTTTTAATTTTTCTRTGTGTATGCATGTGTCATATCAAAGAGTCCTCATGTCGTCTGCCCATATCAAGAAAACCTGTTTTATTTTTCAGGATGCTCCTGACACAGTTTTCAAGCTAGAGCTCTATTTTCAGTCTGTTTTACTGGGAATCATTGTTACTGGAATGCCACCGTATTTTGCCATGGAGAATACAGAAAACCATAAGGTAAAAAGGCAGTTAAAATACACAGCTTGAGACTTTGAAAAGCGTGTAAGTAGCCGTATAAGAGAATTTCTGAGGGCTTCTGAGGGCAGTGGCTACCTGCTAGTAATTGCTTCAGTGCAATGCTGATGTACAGAGTAAGAATTAACCTCGATTTCAATTTTTTGAAGAATCTGAAAAGGTATTTGAAATACTGTCCTTTGACTTGAGAGGAGCGATGCAGGCACCTCTCTGCAGACATGAGCACAGCACTTGCTACCATGCAAGAAAAATAGGAGAAAACCTCTTTTTTCTCCTGCCAAAATGCATGATACTACCTTAGAAACTAAAAACTCTGATTCAGGAATGTTTGGGTGAATTGCTCTGGCCTCACTTCAATCTGAAACCATTGCACGGGAGTGAAGACTGAGGCCCAGCTCATTTATCATCAGGAATTAACTGTATGGATGTTTTCCTTTTTGCAGATCAAAGCGTACACCCAACTGAAGATAGCGGGGCTCTATCCATCCGCTTACTGGACAGGCCAAGCCGTCGTTGATCTCCCGCTGTTTTTCTCCATCCTTGTCCTCATGATAGGCAGCCTGTTTGCTTTTCACTACGGTGTTTATTTCCATGTTGGCAAGTTCCTTGCTGTGGTGAGTGTGGTTGCGGATTATAGCATGTAAGGGAACCTAATGATCTTATTTTCCACAAGTGTTTAGTCTTGTTAGAACTAATGATGCAGCAGATATTTTTTTTTTTTCCAAACTGTGTTCACAGAAAATGCCTGATAACATCTGGGCGTTGGTGAAGATGATCTAATTTTGACACAGTTGTAAGAGAGGAGGCTCAGGGTTGTGCTGGACTCTCTGCTTTATTTCATGACAGCTTCTTGGCAGAATGCTGGGAAACCAGGAACCCTGAGGACACATCCCAGCCTTTTGGCTTGGAGACACCAGTCACATTGAAATAACAGCAAAATACTGTTTCTTCCTATAGAGTTTTGGAGTTTCCTTCAGCCACTGAAATGCTAGAATAAAATTGAAGTTCAGAATATCAGGCTCTGCCAGTAAAATATCCAATCTTGCAGTGCCATGTTTGCTACACCTGCAGTATTTAGCTTAGGAGAAACTCAAAGTTCCCATTCTGTGTGAATGGAGTWACTGCCTATCCATGCAAACCTTTATGCTAATTTTTAGTGTCCAGAATTAGTGTTCCACCCTACAATAATCCCATCTGATAATCCCAGTTCTTATATAGGAAATTCAAACGCAGGTTCTTGCTGTGTATTTGCTGAGAAACTTTTCTTATTTTTTTTTTAAATCTTTGCAGGTGTTTTGTCTGATTGGCTATGTCCCATCAGTAGTGCTGTTCACTTACGTGGTCTCCTTCACATTTAAAAAAGTGCAAAATACCAAAGAATTTTGGTCCTTTATATTTTCAGTGGTGAGTAACTTTATCTGGATTTTGTTTCCCTAGGAAGACAGGTTAACTGCAAAGCAAGGACAGAGTTTCCAGTTAATATACGTCAGTATTTGTCCTTATTTGAAACTTTTACGTATGTGTGTCTATTACTGTTGTATCCCAAGACAATCAAAGCTTTAAAATATGTACTTTCAACTAGATAACTTTTACCTGAAGAGTGTGAACTGAGCAGAAGTGGATTTTTTCCCCTTTCTTTGTTCTAGACAGCCTTGGTGTGTACGGTTGTTACTGAAGTAGCCTTCTTTATGGGGTATTACCTTGTCACCAGCGTCCTGCATTATGTCTTCTCCATCTTCACTCCTATCTATCCGCTTATTGGCTGTCTGATTTGTTTTATAAAGGTAAGAGAACGCAGAAAATCATCTCTAGACCATCTGTTAATTAAGAACATCTAGAACATCTGTTAACTAAGCTGGAAATGGCTGCTTGTTTCTTCTTCTTATGCAGAAGTTTTCTGCATAGCTGTGTAATGTCATCAGTAGCCACTGAACACCTTAAGAATAGCAACCACTGATGAAAAGTCTGCTTTCCTGTTAGTGCTGCTGTTTAAAAATTATAAGGAAAAATAAATTCTTCCATTTAATACTTAATAGAGAATGGTTTGTTTCTCGAGCTGTGGAACTGAACAAGTTTGATGCTTTGATTGCTGTGGGACTGTCTCTGATCAAACTCAGTGCCCATCAAACTCAGTGATGGACAACGGGTTAATTTGCAGCCTGGGAGCAGCTCCAGGAACTTTTGCATGATTTTACTAATTTCGAACTAGTGTAACCACGATCTCTGTAGAGCTCAAAGTGCTTAAATGACTGATTCRAGATGTGAGGTGTAGCATAGGCAACTTCTGGTGGATATTTTTTTTACTGGAATGTGTTTTTTTGCRTTGTCAGGTTTCATGGAAAGACCAGCAAAAGAATGAGGGATTCTACAACCCATGGGACAGGCTCTTGATCGCAGTTCTAGCTGTAAGCATGTTTGCCATAGGGGAACATCCATGCTGCTGGGAGGTCCCTTCTCTAAGATCAATAAAGGTGTAACATCACTGTAGGCACCTGCCTTGTCACCTAGTGCAGCATGAACATTATGTGTAGAAGCTACTGTCCTCTCCAGCTTGACATCTGCTTCAGCAGTTACCTCAGCAGTGCTGCTGCTAATCTTCATGACTGTGGGAGGTTGCAAAGATGCAGCAAGAAGTGCTGAGAAGGGCACAGTCCTTTCTCGTTCCCAAAGACCAAAGGATTGCCACCAAATAGACGTATTTGCTCTGGTCATAAGTCCTCATTTCACTAAGCAGGATCTAGTGGGCTTTAGAGGAAGGCAGCTTAAATTCAGCAGCAATGATCCAAGTGAAGGGAAAAGCAGAGGGTGAAAGAAGTGGGAATGAACCGGGCAGGACCAAAGGGAGGGTCTGCATGGGCATGGCTTGGATTAATTATAATTACTTTTGTCTCTTTTAGCCCTATTTGCAGTGTGTAGTGTGGCTCTTCCTATTGCGATGTCTTGAGGTGAAGAATGGAGGTAAAACAATTAGAGAGGATCCGTTCTTCAGGTTTGTCTCTACTTGAATAGATATTTTAATAGTGAAGGTCTGAAGAAGATGCTTTTGACACTAGCCCTGGCAGTTAGACTRGGATATGTGGCTGTGGAGGATACTGCAGGCAATAAAACAAAAACATCCCTTTGTTACCACAGGTTACCCAATTAACATGTATTGAYGAGGAAACATTGATTCGATTCCTGTGGATTCCATTTGCTATTTAGACTTAATTACAKATTAATGCATCATGGACAGAAATGTTTTCTGTTGAAGTAAAATGCTATTTTGCTTTTTAAAATACATGCACACAACTTTCAGACTTTGGATCTCTGTTTAGAAAACTCTTCAGGAGTTTTTCAGAAGGAAACAATGAATGCTTATTGTAAATACTGGTTTTCCTTGGCCTGTGTGCAGAGAGCGCTGCAGGATCCAATCCCTGGTGCCTAAAGTCTTTGCTTTTCAAACTTCAACTGCCCGATATTTAGTCACCAGGGAGCAGAAGTAGGGTTTTTATCTCTGTGCAAAATGGGGAATTTCTTCAGAACATTTATCTTTACATAGATGGAGTAACTTGAGATTTTTCCYTCAGATTGTGTCTTCCAGTAACACATAACTAGAAACACTGGCGTAAAATCCAGGAACGRGTATGATGGAAGGGCAGGGCAGTGTGGGCCGCCTGTCCACCGGGACTGCACTTGCTGCTAACAGAGCAGATCTGTTTGCTGCTTGGCAGATGACTACAAACTTCCTTTCTCATTGCCTGCCTGGAGACTTAGTGCTCTTAACAAAGAACTCACTGTAAAATGGACATAAATGCAATCGTTCTGTCTCTTCCTTTGTCTTTTGGGGCTTCTCAAGGGTGCTATGTAGACATGTCCCTTCTAGCTTCGACCAACACAAATTGCTTCAGCCGTCAGTTAGGAGGGCCAATCTCTACCAAGAGCTTTGTTTCCCTGGAATGCTGAGTTAGAGGCTTCGTTGTATTTCCCTCTTCTCAGGAGATGTGCTACGAAAGCCAGAACGTGGAAATGCCCAGAGGTGCCGCATGGTGAGAACGAAGATGAAGATGTGAAGGCCGAGAGGCTGCGGGTCAAAGAGCTGTTGAGCAACCAGAACGGCAAAGAGGTGACACCGTGTGGCCCCATTGCCACCAAAGAATAAAATCTAATATTTCCATATTACTTTCTRTCACTGCCCAAGAACCTTGTGCCTATATGGTTAGTTACTGACCTATGTGTTATTTCTGTTTTCTCCTAGATACCAGCCATTCTGGTCAGCGGCTTGCATAAAGAATATGATGAAAGAAAAGAATTTCTTCTTGGGAGGAGAATAAAGAAAGTGGCAACAAAACATGTCTCGCTCTGTGTTAAAAAAGGTTGGAATCAAATTGCATGCTCTTGAACTGCCACGTTTGCAAAAATGAGTTTTGCCTTTTGAATTTACAGTTGCGTTTATTGGACCTCACAGGCAATATTTTGTATGTCATTGATTTTTTTAGGAGAAATACTGGGATTGTTAGGACCAAATGGAGCTGGGAAAAGCACATTAATTAATATGCTCATTGGAGACATCGAGCCAACTGGCGGGCAGGTATAGTACATGCTGCAGACTTAATAGAAAATGAATCTAGGTTTATTATTTGTTCGTAGCTAAAGGATTCCTGGTGCTTTCTTTGCTAAAACTTTTAACAAAACAGTTGTGGGAATTCTGTGGAAATATTACTGAGTAAAATTTGCGCATTTTGCCTGCAGGTTCTGATGGGAAATTATTCTTTTGGACTGAATAGTGAAGATGATTCATTTAAATTTGTGGGGTACTGCCCTCAGATAAATCCTCTTTGGCCAGATATTACACTGGAGGAACATTTTGAAATCTATGGCTCTATCAAAGGAATGAGTCAGAGTGATGTCAAAGAAGTCTTAAAACGGTAAATGGTTTAGTTTAATAATAAAAAAAATAAATAAAGCTAAAATCTCAAATATTTTATAATAGTCTTGTCACTTTTTTGTATATGGCCTGTTTCTGCAGTGTTGCAAATGCCCTGGATTTAAAAGACCACCTGCAGAAAACAACAAAGAAACTAGGAGTAGGATTGAAGCGCAAGGTATGGAGAGGCTTTTAAAGCAGCGGTCTCGGTGTTTGCAGGAGGCTGTAGCATAATTCTCCTTTCCTTTCCTTTCCTTTCAGCTGTGCTTTGCATTGAGTATGCTGGGCAACCCTCAGATTACCCTGTTAGATGAACCATCCACTGGAATGGATCCGAAAGCCAAACAGCACATGTGGTGAGTGCTCTCTGATGCCACAGGCTTTTATATAAAAGATGAGTTTTTTTTCCCCTGTTTATTTGTTTATCATTCGTGTGAACACTGAGAAAAACCAAGTACAGGGGATCAATATTGTACCTTCTTGCAAGGTGCACCTCCTTTGTGTCCTCTCAGAACAGTTGGAAGATTAAAAGCCTAGAAGTCGAGAGAAAGGAATTTTCCAAGTAAAAGAGTCTATAGAACAAGTGAGTTTTGAGTCATATGTGTAAGAAATTCAGATGTTAATGTGGCTTTGAGAGTAATGCTGCTTCTTGAAGTGCTCTTTTTGCACTAAACCAAGATTTTCTGTAAGCTGTCAGATGGCTTCAGCACATCCTTTAAAAAGAGACATCAGTCCAACTGCCCAGATCCAACACTGGGCTGCTGTGAGYGTCTCCACACTATACATTTGATGAAACATTCTTCATACTGAGAAATTTTGCCTACCTATAAAAGCTCTGTAGACACTTCAGTATTTTACTCTTAACTAGAACATCTTCAGAAGCTTCAGAAACCAGAAGGAAACCAAGAGTGAATTTCGTTAGTTATTTACAATAGAAGGAAGATGGGAGCATTCTATTCATGATCCCCCTGATAGCATCTTCCCCATCTTCTGTCTGCTGTATTTTGCTGTTTCTTCAGTTTTGTTCTTGACTTTCTTTGTTTTTCAGGCGGGCAATTCGAGCAGCATTTAAAAATAAGGAAAGAGCAGCTATTCTGACCACTCACTACATGGAAGAGGCTGATGCTGTGTGTGACCGGGTGGCCATTCTGGTGTCTGGGCAGCTCAGGTACCGTGGACTTGTGCTGTCCATCCATCCATGTGCAAAAGAAATAAAACCTTTACTGGCTTGAATATGCTTCTTGGGAAGTTGGATGGATAATTTTATTCAGCTTGCAGCGTAATTGAACTTATGCAAGTTTCTGTTGAGTATTAATCTGCTTTATGGGTGAAGTGTAACATGTACAACACCTGTTTCCCTACCAATTGGTAGGTGTATAGGTACTGTTCAGCACCTGAAAAGTAAATTTGGCAGAGGATACTTTTTGGAAATGAAATTAAAAGAAACGATGGATGCACAAGAGCTGGAGTATCTTCAGAGACAGATTTTGAGCATCTTCCCAAATGCAAATCGTCAAGAAAGGTAAAGTTTAATAAATGCATGGAAAACATTCATATTAATGCAAACTTCCTGCTTTTCAGTACTCCATAAGGGATGCCGCGATGTTAAAATTAACAACAAAAAGATACATTGCTTAAAAAAAAGAAGAAAAAGAGGAAGGGTTTTGCAAGTCAGTGAAGCAGATTCTCGTGCTGATGCTCAGAGCTGTGCGTCTCTGAGCAGCACGTGCACAGATGTTGGGCACAGGGGAAGCAAAACCAGATTTCTGCCTCGCTGTTGCTTGAGAGCTTCCTTCTTAGCAGAGGCCCCTCTTTCATCCAGGAAATGTGGGTGGCAATTGAGTCGCTGAATCACTGTCTCTTTTGTGCAAATGTTTGACAGTTTTCTATGGATGCCTCAGAGTTTGAGAGGTTTGGGGTTTTTGTTRCTGTTGTTTTTCAGAAGCATTTTGCTGAGCCCCTCCGTATTACGTGGAATTTTTGTTGTATAAACTCCAGAGTTACTATAGTTAAAGAGAATTTGAGAAAAGAGAATTGTAATAATTACATAAGAAACACCTTAATTTCACCTGAAGTTAATTGTCATTTGTTTATTTGTTTCAGTTTCGCATCTGTCTTGGCATATAAAATTCCTAAAGAAGATGTACAGTCTCTTTCACATTGCTTTTCAAAGCTGGAAGAAGGTAATTAAATGTTTTGCCACCCATTTTGTAAAGAAATCATTCCATTTCTTGTAACTGAAAAATTTGCCTCCATGCTGTGTATGGTTTAGTGTCACATTCGCATTTCAGTACCAAATTCATTTAATTTAATGGGTTTTTTATTACTCTTGCTGTTCTCATCTCTGTTTTTTTGTAAGTAAGCATTTGTGCCAGCTTGAAATAATTTAAATCAAGTCCCCAAGTCAAACTTACTCTTGTGAATTCTCTTACCAGTGAAACACACCTTTTGTGTGGAAGAGTACAGCTTTTCTCAGGCAACCTTGGAACAGGTATGTTCTATTTCACAACAGTATTCACATATATTTCACATTACATATTATTATTATTATTATTATTATGATGTCACATTCTGTATATTTCACCTGATATTTCTTGAAGGCAAACCACGCCAGTTTAGTATATTGCAGAATAGATTTTTAAATAATGTATTTCCAAGTGTAGAGGTGTGGATTCACTTCACTTCTGTCAGGTTGAAGTTGGATATGGAGACTAAGGAAATCTGTTGTSAGCAGAGGGAGGAGTGAGCAGGGAAGCTCTGGGTTAACCCTGTAGAGGTGACTGGAACCTGATGTCCGGCTTTCCTTCAGCTGAAGCCGGCTTTGCTGATCCTCATTCTCATGCTTCTGGGGAACTGAGCCTCCCTTTTGCAAAGCAGATTTGGACTGTCTGTTCCACTAATTGCATAATTCCCATTTTCCGTTTTCTTTGAAATATGACATACAGACTGCAGTGACTGTCGTTACTGAAAATGTCCCTTACTTAAATGACAATCTTTGCAACTTATTTCTGAAAAAGTGTAAAGCTGAGGCTCACTGTTGCCTTATTCTGCATTAGTTATTGCTGACAAAAATTATCCTTCATTTTATGTTTGGTGCAACTTCCTTTTCACGGCGTTCTTGAAGAATTGGGAGCAGAGAGGAGGAGAAAACACCAAAATGCTAAAAACTGAAATATGAGCGCAGATATGAAGCAACACATTGCAAAGCTTTATCGTGATTTCTGCATCATGTGACCATGCAAGTTCTTGCAAGGAACATGATACATTTCTATTCTCGTTTGTTAATTTTAGGTTTTTGTGGAACTTGCTAAAGAACAAGAGGAGGAAGACAGCAGCTTTGGCACCCTGAACAGCACCCTGTGGTGGGAAAGAACGCAGGAAGATCGAGTTGTTTTCTGAACTCTCKGAGATTCAGGAGCTGTGCTGCCCGGTTCGTGTGTTGTACAAGGGATTGTCCTTCCTAGGACACATGGAGCACCAGGGAGGGATGCCAGAGGTCTGAAAACATCCAAGAGAGGAAGGGAAAAAAGAAAACAGTACTTGGAAAAATGGAGCCTGCTCCACCTTGCTTGATTGCATGAGTGATGCTCTCGGAGCAACGGTGGAAGGAATAATTCCCTCATTAGTTTGTCAGTTCAGAAATTCCTTCTGTATTCAGTGTTTCCCAGTTTGCTGCAAGGGAGGACTGAGGAGAAGCTGCCCGGACACGGGTCGTGGTCCCCGGGCTCTGCTCGTACAGCAGTGCCTGCCCGGCGCTTGTCCCTCCTCCATCCTCACCTCTTGCTCTGCAGAGAGCTCCTTTACACGGCAAAGCGATGCCGAGCAGCCCTGCAGCCCTAGGAGATGTTGGGGTCAGCAGACATTGCAAAAAATAACTCCTTTTGGTAAAACAGTAGCTTGACATCGAGCCTGCCCCTCYGTGTAGCTGCCGTCCTGGCCCCGTGCCCTCTGTGGGCATTGCTCTGGTGCACGTAGAAGTGCCGGTCATAGCTCTGTTCCCAAGGGCAAGGCTTTCTCTCACTGCCATCTGCTTTGAAGAAGTCCTATTTGAGGGGCAAAATCACTCCAAGGTATTGTAGTCAGTGTGAACGGGCTCCTAAAGTTGCACAATGAGCTTAGCTTGGCGTCCGGCTGATGCAAAAAATGTCCTTTTRCAGGTATAACGTGGCACTTGCCAACAGTATGTTCCTTTCTATTGCAAATTGGCAGATCTTGCTGAATTATGCTGCCGTCCTAGGTGGCATTAATGTTTATAATGCATGCAGCGTGGGGTTAAATGGGTGCACAGTAAGGGATGCTATTTCCCCACCCGTTTGGTAAAAGTGCGAAGACGTACTAACCGTGTAGATACAAGAATTGCAGAAATGTCAGTATTTCTAGACTTTGTCAGTGCAGTCTAATTCTTTTATTGGGTGTAATCACATTTATCCTGCCAGCTGTTGCTAGACACAGCCCTTTTTAGATGTTTCCGTTGTTCTTAACAGCGGATTGGTACGCACGTGCAGCAATATTTCATAATCTGTCTTCACTGCGACAGCAGCGAGTGGTGCAGTGGTGTGCTTGGCACATGAGTGTTTGCTTCTTCCTCCCATGGTAGTTTCTCATTCAGCTTCATAAACTGAGAAGTGTGAGATCCAAATGCACAACCTCGTCAGCAGGAATGGTGCCTTTACTTAACAGTAGGAGGACTAATAAGAGTGGAATAGAGGACCCTCTACTCTCAGAGGTGATAAGTGTGTGTTTAAGATTTTTTTTGTTTTTCTATACAGAGCTGTCATTGTTCATTTAGTTTTATAACATGAAATTAAAGAGAGTTAATAGTTCGTTGTGTTCTGCAATGAACAAATTTAGTGATGTGTTTATACCAGAAACATTGGCTACAAAAGTCATATCGAGTTYGGATGGTCTCAGTAAGTCCCATCAGTTTGGGATGCTCCCATATGCTTCCTTGTTTTTCTGTCATAATTCAGAAAACTATGGCTTAGGACAGTTTTGTTTCCCTATAATTACTGGGCAATAATCTATATAATATTTATAGTAATAATTTATTACAATATTGAGAGCCCAAATCCGTTTCCATGCATATCCATAGAAACCTTGTTATTTAAGTCAGTATGGGAAGACATGAGCCCAGTATGTACAGATTTGCTCTCCTCATTTGTACCCTTATGATTAAGCGTAAATCTACAAATTCTGTTTTGTAGCTAAAGCTGAGCCCAGGAATTGCACAGACTGAACATCCCACGTGCCCGTRGTTTCTTCCCAAGGGGAAGGTGCCTGTTCCCATGGGAGAGCAGAGAGCCCGTCCGCTAAGCCCAATGCAATGGGCCTTGCAAGTGCCCAGTTCTGCTGTGCTGCAAATAAAATAGTGGTAACGAACAGATTCAAAGCACTGGTGTGCAAGTGGCAGCTCTGGTCCTGATCTTTTGCAGTCTGAAACTTTCCTATCAGAAAGGAAGAATTACCCCAATCAGCCTCTTGGTTTATGCAATCCTATTGCTCTCTTTTAGCACCCAGGAATCCACTGGCCAGTTGCTCCCATCTACAGCCTCACAACTGGCCAGTATTTCTGGAGGTTTCTCTGTATTTCTAATAAAGGCGAGACAGAATTTGGTCTCCTGATACTTTCCTGTGAATACGCACACAAGATAAATGTTTTCTGCAAATCACGTTACACTTAATTCTGTTCTTTGTACGTTGTATTAAAACTGCTTCAACTGTATCGTCTGTGCATCTGTCAAGCAATGTACAGCATATTCTTTGCACATAAAGTTACAAAAGTACTTATATTTGACAGCTTTCTTGAATTTTATTCTGTCATTTACCCTGTTTGCTTAGACATAAATAATAGGCTGTAAAGCAATTCTTACTCTATACCATGATATGTGTTTGGATAACATCACCAAAACGTTTCTAGTAGGTGTCTTCTTTTTGTAGTATTTCAGATGGGCCATACACAGCCCTTTTTTAGCATCTAGATATGCTCAGCTTGGTGTTTTTCTTGTTTATACTGGCACAACCCAGTTGATGGTGGCATTGCATTTTTACCGTACAAAAAAATTAGCTCATTAAGTTAACTACATATTTGGGTAGGTTCTTCTGTTTTATCTGGCAACGCCTTGTTTCAGCRTGGTATAAATTTATCACCCCGAAACTTCTCCACAATCATATTGTAACCCAGGAGTATTCCAGAGTGTGACATGGTGCCTAGAATTGCAAGAATAGGGAAATATGCATGCAAAATGCAAAAATAAATAGCCTGAAAGCCCCAAAGAYGCTTTACTCCCGAAGCTGTGAGTGCCTCTGTTGTAGTTCAGCTGTTGTCGGTGGCTGGGATTGAACTTGGTGCTCCATTTCCAGGCRTAATCCTTCAGCTACCTCACAAGGATGCTGTGAGGTATAATTAGGTTGTATATACAGAAATTGAAGATAGATTTACTTTGTGGAGTGAGYAGAGATATATGTTTTTATATGGAGGACTTCAGTAATTGACATCTTGTTGACTTGGCGACTTGCAGTTTAGCAATTGYAAACTGCTGGTACTGGTGCATCTGCAGAGATGCATCCCATTTATCCACTGCAAAACTCATCCCACCAAAAAATAGTTCCTTTCCAGTTAGGCCAGTGCCCAGGGCCAACTCACGTGCTGGGTTTTGCTGCTCCTGCATCAAACSCAGCAGTTGCTGAAGAGAGCTGGGCCAGGCAGGACAGGTCGTCTCAGGACCTGCTGCAGCACTAAGAGTTTGGGTTGGTGCCTGGAGAGGCTTCAGGAGCCCTGGGCCCCTCAGGAAAAATAATTATGAAGAAACCGAGCCAGACCTTGGTTGAATTCTCCAGCTTTTCATGCTCATTTTTCTTCAGTGGTGGCCGTGGAGTAGCTTGTCCTTTTTTGAAGACGGCAAGATCAGTTAATTTTCCCTATAATGTTTCCTTAGAAAACTTCAGAAAGCACCTAGTTCTGATCTATTTTTAATGTTCTGGAAACCATTTTTCTGTGGCTTTCAGTTCTCCTTTTTTTTTTTTTTTTTTTTTTTTTTCCTCTCCAAGTGAACCGCTTCCAGCGATGCCCCCAGGGCTCTGCCCCAGCATCTGCATCCCATTTTCCTCCAGGTGCATTTGGAAGCCCCAAGGAATTAAGAATTCCGGGCAGCCCATGCAGTCCTCCAGCGCACGGAGAGGTAAACCCAGGGGACAGGCGTTATTTTGATGTTCAAATGCACTTTCTGGAGGTGCTGGACGGGCGCACGAGAGCAGCGCTTCCGCGCGGAGCCTGCGTTTGTGGGTGTGCATGTGGGTGTTCAACATTACAGCAGTGTTCAGTGGAGAACCACGGCTTTCTTCCTCCCCATTCCTTGGAAATGACAAACTCCACAGCTGCAAAATAGCCACGGCCCTTTCCTGAGCAATCCCCAGCTTGCTTTTGTTTTCTGTACCTAATTCTGCAAATGGGAGGCCGGGTCCGTAAGCTGCGGTTCCAGCACAGTCAAATTAAATTCTTTTCACTCCTCAAGTCGCCACGTGGGTATGCACGCTCCCAGGCCATGTGTGATTCCTGGCTTATCTGATTTCCTTACCTCCCCCTTGCGAAAGCAAATTCACTGAAAACGTACTAAAAAATAAAAAATAAATTCCCTACCCTGATTCCAGCTGTGTGGCAGCTGCTGGAAACGCAACGAGAAGGAGCAGGAACCCAAAAATTTGCTAAGAACAAAAGAGGGGAATTAGAAAAAAAAAAAAAAAAAAAAGAAAAAGACTATCAAATTGGCTAAGAACAATAGGAGGGGAATTAGAAAAAGAAGGAAAAAAAAAGACTTTCCAATTTGCTAAGAACAAAAAGAGGGGAATTAGAAAAAGAAAAAAAAAGACTGTTATTTGTGTGTGGACGGAGGAGCCTTGTTGGCAGAGGAAGGAACTCTTGCTGACTCAAGCTCTAAGCAAAAAGGGCGCTGGAGGGTTTCCCTGCGGAGCGTCACTGCCGCTGGAAGGGACGTGGTGTGTTCAGGCAGCGCGGGGCAGGGTCGGGAATTGCCAGCGCTCCGGCGCAGCTCCACACCGGAGCACATGGGACGCCCTTAGCAAGGTAAACACACGAGCAACTCTTTAACCCAGTCATAACTTTTCCTTTAAATCTATTTTGCTGGGAAGTGACTTTTTTTTTTYYTTTTTTTTTCTGGTAAAATTGTGTGGACTTTTTTTTTTTTTTTCTTTTTGCAATCAAGTATTTTAATTTGTAAAAGTGACTTTCGTGCGGATTTGCACTTGGGTTAGGCTGTGCTATCCCCTCCCGTTGTCGCGTGCGCCAGGCGCAGCCCTGCACGGGGGTGCCCGGCTCTCGCCGCACGCGCGCCACGTAAAGCACAGCGGGATGCAGCCCTAGTGTCCCTGGGCTGAAGGCCGCCTGGTTGTAGGTGTCACTCCAAACAGTTCATCCTGTGGACACACGTTGCAGCCAAACCCGCTCCAGGACCACGGGAGGATCCGGATCCCTGAGCCGCAGGAGACGAGCTTATGATGGAGAATATGGAAAACGCGCTGCCAGGTAAGAAGGTTCCTATTTCTGCTTTGCAAGTGGGAAAAAAAATCATAGATGTTGCGTATTCATGGGGCAGTTGCATTGGTTTTAATGCCGTGTTAGGTTAGAGGCACAAAAGCTGCGCTTTCTGGCTCTGCTCTCCAGCAAACAGAGAGCCTGGCAGGCGAATGTTTAAGGCAAAAATACTAAATGTGAAAAAAACTGTTCTGCTTTTCTGGGCGCGCGGGGTTCCCCATGCGGATGCTCTGCCACGAATGCCAGCTCTGGTCCTTCCCTCTGGCCCCTTTGCCCCCCTTCTTGTTCRCCTCTATGTGTGAATTAAAATGTTGGACACCAATACATTGGCTCAAAATGCCACCGCAAGGAAAACTTGGAGCAACTTGGCAGTGTGTTTCTGGAGAGCAAGAGGGGTTGGTGCATCTGCGGAGTCCTCGGATAGGGAATGCTGATGGTGACACCAGTCCTTTTACAAGTGATGCTCTGGTTAACCTCGTCTCAAGCATTGCTATTTCAAAGTTTTCATTTTGTGTTTTCCAAAACTCACTGTTTCAAATTGCACATCTTGTAGAGACTGTATCTTTCCGATCGTGCATCCTTCCTGCTGAAATGTTGTCTTTTAATATCAAAATTGAAAAGGAAATTCTTCCTGACAAAGATTTTTGGAGGCATCATTATCTGTCTGCCTTTCTGGTGGCTTAATGCTTCAGGTTGAAGGGCACAGTRCTGCCAGCTCTGATAGCAAAAATAAGGTTAGGAGCAGTAAAAATTTACTGGGGCTTTTTTATAGTGAAGAGCTTCCCTTACACTTGTGTAGCAATTCAGCGGAGTTTTTACAAAACCGTCATGTTTTGCTTGTTCCCCAAATACTCCAGCATGAAACTTTGTTTACGCCCAAATATTTAGTTGAGGATGGGCTGCTGGGTTGGGTTTGGGAAGAATGAAAGCCACATTTAGGCAAAAAAAAAAGTAACACTTCCTAGCAATTGCTGCCTGGTTGCCTTTAACCTCTATAGTAGACTGCGATTCCAAGCACAGGAGAAAGTTCCAGGCGAGGGAAAAAAAATAATAATAAAAAGGCAAGCCGTTCACGAAGATAAAACACTTCTGCTAACAGTCAAAGGGTAAATAGAGATCCCGGATCGCTTGGCCCTGGAGCAGGCAAATATTTAATTCTTCCCAAAACAAACAACGGCAGGAACAGAGTAGTGGAACCGTTTATTAACTGCAGCTGCCCGGTCTGCAGAACGAGGAAGCGCTGCCCGGCGRGAGCAGGGCGCAAGGCTGAGCTGAGCTGGGCTGGGCTTAAGCCCTTCTYGGGGGTGAAATCCCAAGGGCTTTTGGAGGCTCCTTCTCATTCTGCAAAGGTGGTGAAACCAGTCGGGGGGTTGGCCCGTGGCYGGAGCTGGAATAAAAATTCCCCAAATCTGGTCCTTTCCTACYAGTATTTGTGTGGGAATGAAGGAACAAAGCGGGATTTTCTCAATATTCCTCGGCTCTAGCTGTTTCAGAGTTGTTCTTAGCTGTATGCATGACAAGCAGGGCTCTTGCTCGTGCTTTGGCTTTCCCTGAAGTGAATATATTTTCAGCAATCYGTGCTATTCTAAATGATATTCTTTCATTTCTCATCCTAGCTGGGAAAATGCAGAGAATATGCAGGAGAATCTCAAAAATATTTCAACAAACTTGTGCCCTCTTTTGGAAAAATATTCTTAGGGTGTGGAGGATGAAAATGGAAACTTTTCAGGCAAGTATCTGACCTGCCAAGGTGAAGACGGGATTTTTGCTCTGAAATGTTTTTGTGCTSAGCTGGTTCTATAGTAGATGCTCTATGAAAAGTCCCAGCTCACAATGTGGCTCTCTGGAAAGTGTCAGCGTTGGGTTTCTTCCAGCGACACAACGTGCCGGTGCAACAGCAACCGGCCTCGCTGCTGCCTCGCTGCTTTTAGCTGCTGAACACAGCGTGCAAGGCACGATCGCTGCTGCAAAATTATCTGCAGACCTTGTCGGCTCTGATGCGGAGGAAATGCTTCTCACTTCAAAAAGTGAATTTTGGTCTAAAATACCACACCTGCCAAATACCTTTTTCTCATTTGTGCAAAGCCTTGGAGCATCATAGCGTCACAATCAAAACCCTGTGCCACCCCTCACCTTTATTTCCTCCCTTTTGCCTAGGAATGGATTACAACGCTGGTTCTTATCTTCACGATATACTTAACAACGCGAGTGATATACCACTCTCCACGGCAGGAAATCCCTTACGAATCCCTCGGACGTTTGGATGATCCTGCCTTCAACGCTACCGGAGTTAAAGTCATATATACCCCAGCAACGAATGCCACTAGGCAAATAATGGATAAAGTGGCTTCAGATTCGGCAATGATGGGTAAGGCTGCTCTTAAAGCCTGGCTTATGGTGACAGAATCCGTCCTGCCCTGGCCATATGAGTACCCAGCCTGCAGTACTGATGTTGGGGCACTGCATATTTTCATGTTGCTTCATCACAAATGAGAAATTCTGCTGTGTTTCTCTTGTTTTGCTTGAAAATGCCAGGTATAAAACCCAAAGGAGTGAAAGATGAAAAAATAATAGAAAAAGATGCGTTTCGGCACGGAGACTTTATTGGTGTRGTTTTTAAGGATGCCTCCTCCTACAGCCTCCGATTTCACAGCTACAGTATAGTATACCCCAGTGAYGTCCTTGACCAAATAGGTAATGGAAATTAATGAACCTAAATCAAATTGCATAACAATTTTGCCTAACAAACCACTTACAGGAATCTCTGTACTGTCCTGTATGTGTATTATAATAATAACACATCATGTGTACTAATGTGCACATACACATGTGCATATATATTTAAAAATATATGTAAAACGCTTCCTTTTCTTTATTTCCTACAGAAGCCTGCCAAAATTATTCCTCAAGCTATTGTAATGTTCCCTCATACTGGAAAGAGGGCTTTTTATCACTGCAGGCCAGCATTGATGCAATAATAATAGAAGTAAGTATGATCGTGATGGAAAATATATAATATTGAGATTAATTTACCGCTTAAGAACTTAACAATGTTATTGAAGAACTAACTGTAATGTTTATGAATAGTCTTTGTTCTGATGTTGATTGTTTCATTATGCAAAATCAAATTAAYGGCACGTTTCTGCTCGCCAGGCGAAAACAAATCATTCTGTCTGGGAAGAGATGAAGTCAATTAGCGGCATTTATCTGAAATCAGACTTGAACAAGCCTGTGTATAGAATGGGCTACATTTGGTTCATTTTTGGCCTTATAGTGTGTTTCACTCCAAATATGTACTTTTTATCAATGAAGGTTATAAGAGAGAAAAAGAAGCTCAAGGTTTTAATGAAAGCAATGGGTTTGCACGATATCGCATTCTGGTAAGTCCACTAGAAGGAGATTAACGGGATATAATTGCAAGAGTATATAAAAKAAAATAAATATAAAATGATGATGATGATAATGATGATGATGATGATAATAATAGCAATAATAAAATAAAGTGTTGGTCCACAGGGCAGYTCATTTCCAAAGGCAGGGAGCCCTGGTGATGGGCACAGAAGGAGAGCAGCCACTTGTGGGCTCCGTGTCCTCACCTACCAGGGCTTAAAGTGCTTGTGCCAGCGATGAGTTGCAGTTATATCTTATATATGGGCTCTTCAYATAAGACAGAGAACAAAAAAAGTGGAATGAGAAATTTAGGAGGGAATTGGAAATGATCAAGGGTCTATCAAAGCAGGAAAAATTTTCGTACTTGCGTTTGTTCATTAGGAAAAATATAATTAATAGTCCAGACTGCATTAAATTCCCTGCAGTTCTTCCCAGTGTCACTGCACGTGCACTCTCGTTGGTAGGTGCAAAAAGTGGCATTTAAAATAAGAAGAATGTCTCTTGTACCAGATATATCATGAAAAAACTTTGTTTGCAGAGGCAAAAATAATGGTGCTTTTATTTGCAGGTTGTCCTGGAGCTTGCTATACACCATCTACGTTTCAATACTGGCAAGCTTGCTGACAGCCATCACRTTTGAAGTCCTCTATGAAGGCAACTTTACTGAAATATTCTTCTTTTATTTCTTTTACGGCATAGCAACTGTAAGTCTGCTTCTGTGCTTTTAAATTATGCATAGATTTTCTTYTTCCACTTGCTAATTAAACTGTTTGTAAGTTTATAGAATGCTCCAAGGCAGGACTGCTTAGGATTTTCTTGTTAAAACTGGTAGGCTGAAATGTCACTGCAATTTTGGAAGATTCGGACTTGAAATCAAAATCTTCTCAATTTTTGCATGTTCAAATCTCACACAGGGTCACACAGGGACCTTTTGAGGAAAAATGGTGATTTCTTTAGAAACTCACTGCGGMGGACAATCAAAGCCAACCACGTCTTTAATGTTCCTTGTTGGATTTTCATCTGTGTTATTCTTTTATCAGCAGCAACAATTCATCCTGCTAATTGCAGTTCTTCTCTTCTGCAGATTCACTTCTATTTTATGCTCAGCTCGTTGTTGAAGCAGCCGAATATTACCGGTTTTGTGGGGTTTGCCCTTCAAGTTGTCTTTGGATGCCTGGGCTTTTTGACCTTTTTTGAAATGCTGCCTCCAGCTTTCGAATGGAGCTTTAGTCTCATGAGCTCTTTTGTGTGTGCAGCCGGCATCTCGAAGGTATGCTCCAAAAACACAAGCAGCAAACAGGCTGCGGATGCGGCACCGGGACAGGGTAGCCACCGTGGGCAATCCCCATTGCTAGAAAGACCCACTCTGTGCTAAGTGATTTGGAAAAATAAGTTCGATTCCAAGAAGTGCAAACATATTAATTTGCAACCACCATAGTTAGACTCTCATCTGCTGTAGGAATTTTATCATCTCTGTATATACCATGARTTTCCATGCCTGGAAAAACATTAAAAACAATGTTGTGATCACAAGTAGACTTGGGTTTATGCCGAAGAGCAGGTCAGAACACAACACAGCCCAAGAGCCTACATGCAAGCCTAAAGGAAGTGTTGCATCTGATTTGTGCTTTTTTTTCCCCCTCCTTAGATTATAATTTTAGAAAGATATGGAGCAATGCTTACACCAGAATTTTACCCTTTCTTGAATCTCTACATCATATTAATCTTTGACAGTGTTTTATACATGCTGTTGGCCATCTACTTTGATAAAGTTTTGCCTGGTAAGTAGAAATATAAGGTAAGAGTATGAATCTGCTTGCACTTTTTTATTCCTGTCACCCTCTCCTCTCAAGGAGGATGAGGAGCTGAAGGAGCTGTGGGATATTGCTGAGAAAACTCTAATCTATGGGAAACAGCAAAAGATACGTTGCAGAAGCGAGCTGCTCAGGTTGTGGAGCAGCATCTAGATGGAAACGTGCCTGCCGCATTACAGAGGGGCTGAAAACTGGAGTTGTTGTGATCATGAGAAAGAAATTGTTGGAAATACTCTTGTTTTCCCCAAGGCTGGACGCACAGAGCTACCCCAACTTGGCTCTGCCTTAGAAACAGCCTGCAAAAAGAGCCCCAAATCCTGCAGTGAGGCACTGAGAGCCTTCATGTCTACCCCAGCATCGCTAGCCACTAGGATTTAGGAGGATATTATAGGATTTTGATTCAGAATATATTAAAAAAAAAARRGGGGGATTCACAGGAATCCCTTCCATTCTGTGCAAAGTGTAAATTTTGTGACTATAGACAATGAGATAGCTGAATATATTAATATATATCAGTATGTATCTATATTTATGAGGCATTTATCAAAGTTGAACTGATGCATAGCAATTTGAGTGTGATACTTTAACTTTTTTGTTTCTGCATTAGGCAAGTACGGAGTACAGTATCCTCCTTTGTTCTTCCTGAAGCCATCCTACTGGTTCCAGCACAAGAGCAGGAGCACCGGAGAGGGAACCGGCAACGGGAGCAGCCATGGAGCCCTCAGKACCACCGAGGAACCGATGCCCCCTGAGTTTGCTGGGAAAGAAGCAATCAGGTAAAGGCTCTTGTAGATATGAACAACCCCTACACATTGTAGCTGAGTCCAGATGGCAGAGCCACTATTGCACCAGAGAAACTGCACGTGTGCCCATGTTCCCTTCCGTTATGTGACCATTTGCTCTTCATTCCCTATAGCCTTATGCTTTATTAGTTAATTGTTTGTTGGGTTTGACTTTCAGACACTTTGCTCTCATTATAAAATTGCATTAACCAAATCTGCTTTTAAGAGATGAATTATAAAAACTTCTTTTTTTTTTCCCATGAGAAAATGTAGCAACCCCCTGATGATAGAAAGTGGAATCAAATTTAGGAGGATGTTGAAAAATACCCTTCCAATAGTCTTTATAGGTTCCTTTTAGGCAAAAGATGTATATCAGAATTGCAAGATTTAGCAGTAACAGCTTGCTTSCCTTTCCTATAGAATAAACAATATTACCAAAACATACAAAAGGAAGGACAAGACAACAGAGGCCTTAAAAGGTAAGAGGGGCTTTATTTGATATTTCTCTATTTATGAATCAAAGCTGTTTTGAAATATTTTGGATGTACTTAAACTGTCTTCAGCACTGGGAAGTTAAAACACATTATGCAGCGGCTATTTCTGCTGGTGTAAGTTACTTGCAGATTCCTAAAAATGTTACCCAGTTTTCCTCTTCACTCCYGAAACAATGCTGCAGATTATTTTTTGCAGGAGCAGGAGTCTCCTAAAAAGCTGCGTATTTGCAGACATAAACCATTATGTAAAAACCCCTCAACGCTCTCAGCACATAAACTAAACTGGGAAGATGCAGCCTGTGTTTTGGGATGYGGTTTTGCTTGTCGTCAAAAGAAATCAGACTCCTTTACCAAACCTGGCAATAAACTGCAGGTACAAATCTATTTCCTTCAAGCCCTTTCATCCTAATACTGTCTCGTTTTTATTCTAGACTTGTCCTTGAATGTTTATGAAGGCCAGATCACTGCATTGCTTGGTCACAGTGGATCTGGAAAAACGACTCTCCTGAATGTGCTCAGTGGCTTTGCCCAGCCTTCAGCAGGTAAGATGATGGACCCGTATGCTGAAGATGAGAAGCTGTCTGGCTTTCAAGTCAACCAGGATGAAGAGATTAAACTAAAAAGTCACGTCATTCTTCAGGTCATTCGGTCAGCTCAGATGGTTCCCTTCACAAATGCTTTGAGATTAACACGTCCCTCGTGGATATGCTCAAGTATGCACAGATGGTTACTTCCCAATTGGATGTCCAATGTTTTCCTTGAGCTTGATATATACAGGAAATATATTTTAGTTCCTGAGAGAGATTTGGTGCCCTGAGCTAKTTCTGACTGGTATTAAAATCTTTGCACAACAAAAACTTATTTTGCCCACCTTATTTTTTTTTAACATCAGAGAAACAGTCGTCATTATCACGGATTTAACAACAAAGATGTGAACACAAAACTTTGCTTTCCCTGCACAGCAATACTGTATTCTATAACATTTGTTTCATTCCTTCCTGAATTACAGGTTCTGCAACGATATACAACTACAAAGTAGCTGAAATAGAAAATACGGAAGGAATTCAGGCAACTGTGGGGATTTGCCCACAATCAAATCTGCATTTTGAAACCTTAACGGTGAAGGAAAACCTGCGAACTTTCGCTCACATCAAAGGGATTCAGATGAAGGAAGTAGAGCAAGAGGTTGGTCTGTGTTTGATGGCTGACCCCTGTTTTCCAGCATCTKGAAGTGTTTGTTGAGGTAGATTTATGAAAGATTACTCCCAGTGATGCAWTCTTTGAATCAAGGTTAACCTTAATTGAGGGAAGAAATGCATTTTAATTCTCTTATTCCCAACAGCCTGATCTGCAATATTTAATTGCAAATTTCATTTTTAAGTTGATTTGCAATATTTAATATTTAAAGGGAAGTCCATTTAAAGCTGTTAAGTTTTAGATCTTGAAGCTCTGCGTTGTGTACTGTCTATAGTCACACACGAACCAAAAAGTGTTCAATATTTGGAGCTATTGTAGCCCGCTCCGTGGCTGCTTCCCCGTGCATTTCCAGCAGGCAGTCTCCAGACCTTGAAACTGAAGCTTGGCCTTTGTTTTTGTCTATCACCAAGGTGAAGAAAGTACTGACGGCGCTGGATCTCACTGATCTTCAGAATGTCCTCCCCAATACACTGACGGTGGGACAAAAAAGAAAATTGTCTCTTGGAATTGCAATTCTAGGGAATCCGAAGGTAGGGAGCAGATCCTATTGGTGTTATACACAATGGTTTAGAGCGTAGTTTTGCATTTTGATTTGGCACAGAAACTTGTATTTCTTTTCCCTTGGCACTCAAAAAAATCTGCTGACCTACTAACTCACTTGGCTGCCAAAAGGGACAAGAAATATAGCTCAATCAAAACTGTATTTAAAACAAAAAGTGTAATATGAAATTAGGAGAAAGAACTATTAAAAAGGCAGCCATTTGGGGTTGCATTTTGTCTTTAGAATAGATTTTTAAAAGCATTCAAATGGTACTGCATAAACATGGAAATGCTGGCGTTGCAGGTGCTGCTTTTAGATGAGCCAACAGTGGGGCTGGATCCCTCCTCCAGGCACCACGTGTGGCGTCTCCTGAAGGAAAACCAAGCTGGTCGTGTGACGCTCTTCACTACCCAGTGCATGGGTGAAGCTGATATTCACGCTGGTGAGCCCGGATTCTCAAGCTGTGGTTGAATGGCATTTAGGACTTGTCACCAAAGGACCACGACRTGACGCGGTCTATGCTTGCTAGATGAATTTTATCTGATAAACTACCCAACCTGAGCTGAATGAAAGATAAATGAGGCTGAAGCTTTCTTCCAAGACCTTGCAACTCACACTGCTTCAGTAGGAAGCAGCTATTTTATTATCTGAACAGCACCCACGCAAATTAGTGATATTGTCAGAATTAATTGTCAGAATCGGCTGTCCTGATTCCTTATCACTCTTGGGATGCATGGGCAATATTCTATAAGCTATAAGAATGCATAAAGAAGAGTAACCTTGGTGTTTAGGAGAAAGGCAGACAGTATTATAAAATTTCACTTATTCACTTAAATCTTTTATATTCATACCCTTAGATCGGAAAGCTTTTCTCTCAAATGGGAGATTACAGTGTGTTGGCTCTTCTCTTTACTTGAAGAGAAAATGGGGAGTTGGCTATCATTTAAGGTAAATTCTTCTCTTTTTGATCATCACTACATCAACTAGAAGCAGATTTTCATAAAACTATTTGCTCATAGGGTCAATGTTTCATATAGAATTTCTGTATAGAGAAATAGAAATCTTGACAATCCTTTTTAGAAGGCTTTAGGGCTGCCAGAAAAATGTTGCTTTGGATAGTAAGCTGCTTTGCTTTGGACCCAGTCCTAAAAGCTCTGAACATGTAGCCAAAATGACTTTGCAACTCCTGGCAGCCAAAAGATGAACTGCAATTTCCACATACCCTGTGCTGCCAGTGACATACAGTGTCTTTCATGTAAAATTGCTTTTCTTTGGATTTTAATTTGTCGTCTTGGTTTGGCATCGCTGCCCACGATCATTATTCTTAACCTCAACCGTTTATTTTCTATGTATGCATAGTCAAAAYAGGGGCACTGCAGAGCTATAAGTTGTCTATAACAATTCCTGCTGCAATACTGCCTAGATTTGAAGGTTAGCCCACGACTTGAAGAAATAACCGCTAGATTTAAAGGTTATCCTGAAACTTGAAGAACTAACTGCAGCTTTAGTATTCTTAGTGGATGAAACATGCAGTCATGTTCTGATTGAATGACCCAACGTTTGCTTCTTCGTGCAAATAGGATGCATGTAAATGACCTGTGTGACCCTGAGGTGGCATCAGCCCTGGTCAGACAGTACATCCCTGATGCCGTGTTCAGAGGACAGAAGGGGGATGAATTATGTTACATGCTGCCCATGGAAAACACCGATGCCCTGCCAGGTAAGAAACACCTGTATTTGAGCTGGGCTTRTAAAGGGACACTAAATGGTGGGAAAACTAGAGAGTCTGGTTGCTGAGAAGGTCATCAGTATGTTCCCTTATCTGCCGCCTATATCATAGGGAGCCCAAAGCTGCATAAATACCAGCTTTAAGGAAAGCCTCTCATGAACACGATACTACTAATACTTCAGATTAACAAAGGAATATCTACCAACTCACTTACAAACTAAACTCTACTCTCTTAAAAGCCTGAACTTCCAATGACACTCCTGTGGTTTCAAGCAAAGCTTCTTGCCAGGAAGAACTTTGCTGTGGCTTTTAAATTATGGAGTGTGGCATATTGAGGGTGGCTTTAAAGCTCAGAAAGTCTGGTGATGGTCATGCCCTCTGTGTTCCTGTGTGCAGATCTGTTCAGCCACCTCGAGAGCAACTTCTTGCAGGGGGTTGTTAATTACGAGGTTAGCAGGACCACCCTGGAAGACGTGTTCCTGAAGCTGGAGGGTGAGGAAGCTCTCGATCAAGAAGGTAAAGTCCATGTTGCAAGCTTGGTGTGGTTTAAGTTTCTGAATATACTTTTTTTTCTAAGTGAATGAATGAATCCATACCTAGTTTCTGCTAAAAGTGACTTCCCATAGTTTTCTGCGGGACAAGAAAAACAGCCAAATTAAAAATGAGTAATTCCAGATTTAGAATAGAAAATCTTTGCTGATTATTCAGCAAAATGTTAAAGTGTGTCCTTTGAAACCTCCTTGYAGATGGTGGTGTTTCTGGTAATGAACAGCTGGAAGATGGAGAGTGCTTTGACACGGAGGAGATGGACCGAAGCCTCCTGACGCTTTGGGAGAGAGGGCGAGCTACCGTCAGTGGCGTGGAGCTCTGGAGGCAACAAGTCCGGGCCATAGCAAGAGTTCGCTTCTTAAAGCTAAAGCATGATGGAAAACTCCTCAGGTCCATGTAAGTCTGGRAGCGCTTGCTTGGTCTGTGGCAATGATCCTTGTCAAAGTACCTGAATATAGCCTCAAGTGACTGAGGGGAGGCTTAAAAAATAGCTGAGATCTTTTGGAAACTAGGTAGCTGAAAAAATGTTTTAAAAATACAATAATAAGGTCAGCTAGAAGCTCTTGGCAGAACTCTGATTTGCTCAAGTTCTCCCGTAAATCACTCATTTTTTTCCTTTGCTTATGTCACTGTCGTATGTGAGAGGCAAAATGCTTCTGCACCCATTTATGGTTTGTTTTTCCATCTAGATTGCTGTTCTTGGGAGTATTTATCCTTCCGCTGTTTATCATTTTTATTGGATTTCAACTGACAGAAGGATTCGGTAACTTCGAGCTGACTGCTAGCTTGTATTTTGTTCCCAATGAAGAGAAAACTCATGTTAAATCAACAAATCTTCTCATCTTCAATGACACAGGTGAAAAAATAAGTTATTTGTCTTCTGAACCTCCCTCAATCTTCTTAAATTTGATGAAAGTAAATGTTCTTACTCTCTGTTAYGTTCCATTGCATATTTGTGGCCTTGGGAGGTGTTTTCTTTTGAGCAAAACCAAATCAAATTACARTAATGATGAGTTTATACTCTTGGCTTGATTTCAGGATCAGATATTGAGAATTTCATTCATGCCTTGAAGATTCAAAAGATAGTGCCAGAAATAGCTGTTGAGCAAAACATCACAAGTATGCCACAGCATAACGGAGCTATAAAAATATCCCTGGAAGGCAAGGTGAGCAATAGCTCTTCTTCTTCCATTCTGTCAACAGGATTCTCTGAAATGTGTTTAAGTGAGGCACAGCGAAATACAAAGATCAGGAAAAGAGAAAACACTTATTTGTTGTATTTGATGTTATCAGTAATTCTGTTTGTGGGAAGCTGGGTCTGTATTTAGTTAATAAATGCCTGATACTGGCTCCAGCTCTGTTTGCGTGGCTCAGCAGGRCTTGGAGGCAGGTGACACTGTCACCTGGGTTCATTGCCATTAAGCCACCTCTGAGCTTCTGCAAAGGTGCACCGAGTCCTACTGTTCTCAAAGGAGGGGAAAAAGGGATTTAGGGAATATTTTCCCTGCCCAGATCCATGGCTCCACAGGCAGCAGGGCAGCCCTGAGCTGTGCCCGTCCATAAGATCTTTCCTAGATGTCATGCAAGACTGAAGGTTCAAGCCTCCTTGTTCTGCATCCAAGATGTCTGAGGTGCCCTCCTCTCTCCTGGGATAAACTAAAGCTTCTCTCCTTGGAGTTATTTAATCTCTGGCAGTTTTTTTATTTCTTGGATAAAATACATTCTTTCCACTGTGTGCTTTTTTACATTAATCTCACTGTATTACATAGATTAGTACCAAGTCTTTTGTATTCCTCTCCAAAAATACGGTTATCTTTATCCATCTTTTTGCTGATTAGCAGACTCTTCAGGTCTTATCACAGGTCTGAAGGTAATGTCCTCTGATCTTATGTCTCCAGCGCTACCAGTACACGATCATGTGCAGTGCAGAGCCCATCAACTGCTTTCCAGTGCTTATGAATATCCTCAGCAACACTTTCTTAAGGCTCTTCAATTCCACAGAACATATCCGCGTCTGGAATGACCCCTTTCCTCATGTAAGTGTCCTACCTTTCTTGCTGGAAATTATTAGAAATGTTTAGCGAACTGAAGTGATAAGGACTGGATGGGTGGACTGCAAGGTGGGTGGAAACCTGGCTGGACCAGCAAGCTCAAAGGTCTATGGTCAACAGTATTAAGTAGTATTAAGGACAGTATTAAGTCCAGCTAGTGGCCAGTTACTGGCCTTTCTCAGTGGTCATTACACAGGTTATTGGAAGAGAATTCCTTTCTCTAGTTGTTGCACTCCATAGAGCCTCAGTGCCATGAAACGTGTTTTTACTGGGGAAGTGTTGACTATTGATGATGTCCAAATTATGAATTTCTCTTCCATAGATGAAAAACCCAGCTTTCATGCATGAGATATTTTATCGCTGCTTCGCCTTCATGCTCTTGTTGGTTGCTGGTTTGCCTTCTCACTTTGCAATGAGTAGCATGGATGATTACAAGGTAAAAATCATGCACTGAAACCAATTATACAAGGAGAAATGAATACAAATGCGATGTCTCTGGAGAGATTTTAATCTTGCTTTGCTCTGTGATTTAAGAATGCTACGGAGAAAAACCAAAGGGAGTTGGTTTGTTTTGAAGGCACGAGGGAGATGCAGCGTACAGGTTCACAACACGGTGCTCTCTGTATGGGCAGTGTCTCTATGCAGTAGGACAACCAGGATTATAAGTCTGGTGTCCGGGAAGAAATGCAGCCACGTGAAAATAGTCTATAATAGAGAGCTTGGGGCTTTGGTTGATTAGGGGTTTTGTTGGGAATTAGTTCAGGTCTCTGAAAGCCTCCTGGGTGCTTGTGACCAGAATCAGTACCAGTCTTTCTCTTCTCCGAAATAATTTAATTTCAGTTTTCATGGTGACTTGTTCCGATGTTCCACGTCAGGGAAAGGAGGGAGGAATGGGGGAAATTAGAGGAAGATGGGAGCGGGAATGGGTTTGTCCACCACTGATTCCTCGAGCTGTTTCCAGCCAAGCTGGAGGCCTCCCGTGGCAGCTTTTGGACGTGCTCCCCTTCCCTTGGCAGATCAGGGCTCGCTCCCAGCTGCGGCTCGCRGGGCTCTTCCCCTCGGCGTACTGGTGCGGGCAGGCGCTGGTGGACGTCCCGCTCTACTGGGCGCTCATCAGCCTCATGGCCGGCATCCTGGTCTTGTTCTGCTACAGCAGCTTCTTCAATGCCACCATGATTCTGGCCTTGGTAAGTGCAGAGCACCCTGCTACAAATCCCCTCTCCTAGTTATTTTCTTGGGATATTTCTCCATATGAGAATCAYCAAGCTGTCCTTGCAAGGAGACAGCTTTCAAACTCCTTTGTGGTCTAGAAGGATCCAATATTTTGACTGATCAATTGTATCAAGGAGTCTGCTTTACCCACATCCATTTCCTCGTCAGTAATATCAGTCTCTTTCTCTAGATTGTTTGCATCATTGGTTATGGAATATCTCTTGTTCTACACATTTATTTGATTGCCTTTAAATTTCGCRATGGACGGAGCAATCGTTATTTTTGGTCTTTCATCATTATTCTGGTAAGTGAAGTGAATCTTCWCTCTGCAATATTTGGTTTACACATCAAACCAGCAGAGGTTTTGCTCCAAGCATATTGACATGCAGCATAATAACCAAAATCAGTGGCAAACTGGTTTTTAGCCATAACTCATGACTTTTGGAAATACTTTTTTCTGCTTTATTTTAGATTTCCTTCATTTTCTATACGTTCAGTAGCCGACACGATATAGTCTGTATCATCTTTTCTGCACTGACTCCTTGGTTTCCATTGCTGGGCTGGCTAATCTTTGCACCTGTAAGTAAACATATTCTGCTCAGATAAATATAGCTCCTTGGTGGCAAAACATAGCAAGTAAGGTGTGTTGCTGCCAGGAGGGAGGTGGTGTGCTAGACATACTGCTTGCCCTCAATAGATGCCAAACGTTTGTTTTCGCCCTGCATAAATGGAGAAAAACTAAGGATTTTTGCTAAYTGACTGATATTTTCCCACAGGAACCATACTATTTTTACATGGACGAGCATTCAGAGCTGCAGAGTAAAGYCTTTGTCCCTGTCTTTGCAGTAAGGAACAGTTTGATGGTGGTTATTTTGTAAAAGGTTCTTGTAATGTGATGGATTTGCACTTGGCTGGCATAACTCTTGCCATTAATAAAGTATGGGTTAAGAAGTAAATTTGCATATTGGATGAAGGGGAGATAAATCCAAGGAGCCAAGGGCTCATCTGTCAGGTGCCCWTAAAATGCTATCCCGTGAGTGGAAAATGATGAGGGGATTAAATGGAGCTCATGCCTAAGGCAGAACTTGGGCAGACCTGTAGACAATATATGAAAAATGTGGTCCTGATCCTGTAAGGTACCTCAAAAAGAGTCCTTTGGAATGCTGTTCATTTGAGCTAAAGCTGCAGTATAAATAAATGATCTATCAATGAGATGGAAATATTTATGCAGCTTCAATTTAATTTCTTTCCCTAGCACTTCAGTATCTGAAGTAAATGAGATAGGTCTCAGCATCCCTTTAGAGTTAAAATTAATCAAATGTGGCATTGCTTGCCTCTGTACAAACCTAGTTCGTTGTTGCATTTTCAGCCTTATTTCCACTGCGTGATTTTTGTTCTTCTCCTTTGCTGCTTGGAGATACGATATGGAGAAGCAGCTACAAGACGTGACCCCATCTTCAGGTCTGTGCTTTGAGGGCCGCAGCCAAGTTGGTGTTGGTGTTGACCACGGTGGCCCTCTAAGAAATGCAATACCCTCAATGCTCTTTTCCCACCAGTTAGCCTTAAAAGTGATGCAAAGTGTGAATAAAATCAAAATTCCCTGCCCAGGGAATGAACATTARAGCTATGTCATGGAGTGGCTTCCTTGTGGAGTGGCTTCCGTTATAGAGATAAGTCACACAGGACATTGTACGGGCACTAGCCTGGGAGTAAACCCATAAAATGCCCTTGGAGGCAATTTTCAGTGTGCCCCATCTCTGCCTGCAGGTTTTGCCGCCGGAGAGCGGTCGCCCGCCACAACAGGGACCATCCAGGAGAGGAAGCTGCAGAAGTGCAGGCTGAGAGGGAGCGCGTCAGGAGCGCCGTGGCATCTCTGCCGCAGCAAGAGGTGAGCTGAGGTCCTGGGTTCTTCCCTTTCTCACGCTCTGTCTTCTGCCCTGTCTCTGTTTTCTTAGTTTATACACTTTTTTTTTTTTTTTTTTTTTTTTTTACTAATCTTTTAATTTTCAAGTGTTAACCGAACCCACAGTTAGTGCAGAGTTAGTGCAGGAAAGTTGAACTATATTTTAGTTCACATTCTACTTTTTCCCCTCATTTCTCTGCTGTTCTGTTTCCTGGATTTTTAATTTCCTACATATGGCTCTCTATAGGAGACATAATGTTGAGAACARGTGAGCTGTCTCCTACAGTAGCAGGAGGGTTTTTAATTCCCACTTGGTTTCCACACAGGATCCTGTCATTGTCAGCAGCGTGCGCAAAGAGTATGAAGACACGAAGGCCAGCTCATTTTTAAAGAAAAAGAAGAAAGTTGCTGTCAAAAATCTCTCTTTCACCATTAAAAAAGGTCCTAGTGCTTTGCTTCAACACTTCTAAATGACTGTCCCATGCAAAGATCGTCTTTGGAGACCATGTTTTTGTTGTAACTTCCCTGTCTATAACCAGACCTAAGGCATGATGCACATTCTGCATTGGGTCATTACTTCCATGGGTTTTATTTTCTGGGATGTGTTAATGAATTCCCCTTTCTTCCCTTGTAGTTCTAGATATTGTCTAGCCYATGGGAAGGGAATCTCTTTAACGATTCTTGCATATCTGTTGCAGGAGAAGTATTAGGACTGTTAGGACCCAACGGAGCTGGAAAAAGCACGACTTTGAATATGATTTCTGGAGACATAACACTGACTGCTGGGGAAGTATGTGATTTCTTTGAAGTAGTTGAGGGATAACCTTGATGCCTTTAGAAATGAAGGGTGGGAAAAGGAAGAGCAGCAATGCAACCTGGTAATTGAGGACTTTATAAATACACAGCGTTGACAGATACACAAATAAAATGCTGATGGCCTCAAAGCATAWCCTAGTTTTCATTAAAACTAATGTTACAGTCTTAACAGTTTGAGCTAAGCAGAAATTTTAATGTGGTTTTGAAGCCAATCTTGATATTTCGCAAGCACTGTAAAAAATGTTGACATCGTAGAAAACAGCACTGTTTCCATAAAGCCTGGCAAAGGSAGGAAATTAAAAATGAATACGAATAGGGCTGGGCCAATAACAATCCATCATGTGCATGATGATTAATGAAATGTGCTGGAGGGAAATGCTGTTGCCGCTACAGATTTGGGGTTGAATGTTTGAAATGAAAATATATATGTGTGTTAGGAGATGATAGTCTGATGTTGGTGCTGTTCCCGAAAGCCTTGGTTTTGTATGAAGGCTTCTTGGAACCAGATGAGCAGATGTCATGACTGATGGAGATGATCGGTTGAATAACGCCAGACTTTTTTCCCACATGTGTATGAGGTCCACGTTGCTTCATGCTATAATACAAGAGAAAACATTCAGGATTTCATGGGGTTAATTCTTTCCAGCCAGAATAACCCAGAGCCCTTTCTCCACTGCGTGTTTGTGCAGGTGCTGATCCAGGGCAGTGACCCGTCTTCTCCAGGCCAGCACAGCGCCGGGTTCTTTGGGTGCTGCCCTCAGGAGAACCCGCTCTGGCCCAACCTCACGGTGCAGGAACATCTGGAAGTCTATGCTGCCGTGAAAGGGATGAGGAGTGAAGATGTGGCTGCTAGCATCAGCCGGTACGCAGCCAAATAACTTCTGTTTTCTGCTCCTCATCTTGAGTTAGAAGATGGGGAGACATGGAAAAGTGGTTTCACTAGTAAACCTGGCTCGTATGAAAAAGAGGTACTGCAGTGAATTTGTCCTCTTTACACTGGAAGAATATGACTTCAGATGAGGTCCGAAGAGGTCTCTATTACAGTGTTTGAACACTTCATCTGTGATTTTCACCATAGCTTATCTAGAAAAGCTTCAGAAAGCATCCAATCTTGCCTCGATTTGAAACCTTTACATTTAAAACTGCCCTTCTCTGATTAGCTGTACCTACTGTCATGAGCTTTACCAGAATTTTTTAATTTATCACTAGAATTAGGAATAGAGTTATCAAGTAACCCAAGGTGAGGAGTATATTATCTTTGATTCCAGGGATCCTCAGTACCCCTGACCACAGTTAGCAAATGGAGATATGTATTTTGGTCATCTTCTATCCACTTTCCACAGCGTAGCAGAGGCCCTGGAGCTCCAGAAGCATTTAAAAACAGAGGTTAGGAGATTGTCTATGGGAGAAGCAAGAAAGGTAAGTTAGATGGTTAGATTTGTGCTCTGTGATTGACCAAATCCCTGCTCCTTCTCAAATATGATGCACAAAAAAAMCCCATTCATTCAAGCTCGTTGAGTTCTTTGGCTTCTATATTGGTGTCAGAAAGATCAGAGCGTGGTCCTTTTCACTGCAGAAGTTTTAATTTTTACTTCACTCAGTAGAAATTTTCTTCTTGGGAGAAAGCTGTAAAATTCTGTCACGTGTAACTGCTCCTGCAAACCTGGTGTGCTTCAGAAAGACCACAGAGTTGAAATTTGCCTGCATTATTGCAGTCCTTGTGAGGGAGTGGGTTCCTTCCAGTGCAGAAGCATGCACTGTAAGGGTGTTTCCAGCCTGATTTATTTCCATCCATATCTTCTGAATCCTGTCTGGCAGACTGCCCCACTCTCCTTTTCCCCTACTTTCTGTGGGCAATTATTTGATAAATGGTAGATGCAAATTGGATTTAGCAGATAATCGCTTCTTTGTGCCCTGCAAAGTGCATCTGCCAGGAAATCGGTTGGAAAAACTCTTTCAAATTTTTGGCAGACCTGGATATTTGGGGGAAGTTGATTTTCTAAGATTAAAACGTTGACTCAGAATGCCTGGGGGCTCTTTCTGGACTTCTGCTCCTGCTGCATTTCTGAATGAAGAGATTTGAATGAAAATATTTGCAGGAATTAAGATGCACTGGGACAAGCTAAGGGTTTTAGCAAAGCCAAGGTGGACCTAAACTGGGCACCTTTGCTGTTTCAGGTGAGCTTTGCACTAAGCGTGCTGGGCGACCCGACAGTCCTGCTGTGGGACGAGCCCTCCGTGGGCATGGACCCCAAAGAGCAGCAGCGGATGAGGTGAGCAGTGCTATTTTAGCACCAAAGAGGGGAAAATAATAGGTTACAGATTTACATCCATCACAGAATGAGTCTGATCCTCGCTATTTTGGTAACTGCTGGACAGCAAATAGTTTCTGCTCTATCCATAGCTTCTGTCCATTGCTAGACATCAGATGAGATCTTAGTGATGGCATCGTTGAAAAAAATACTAGTGGACTCCAAAAGAAACCATGCATTTGGTATGGAAGAAAAACTCCCACTTTCTTCAGAGTTTGTGGCAAATTATAAGTAGTTCTCCTTTTCCACAAACTAGTTGACCATTCGGGTCTGGTATTTACTGTTATTTTTCAAAAGCTGTTTTACCTGAAATTGTAAAATTTGGAGGGATGCCGACATGACAAATTGCAATGTAGCCTTAGCATTCAGTTTTCATCTCTAAGCAAGACAGCTTAATAATGAGAAATATGCCAAGAAAAATAGACTCTGCTCAATTTATTTTAGTTAGAGCAGATACACAAAGTATTTAGTAACTGTTTTCTCCATGCAAACTCAATTTTATAGAAGCTGTTTGGGGAAAAGTTAGGAAAGCATTGGCCTTTTGTATGTTAGTGCAAATTTCCTTTGCTACTCAAGTCCTTTAAAAGGAAATCTGATGTTTATTGCCTTATCGTTTAGTTGTTGCCTTGAAAAACAGAAGAGGGAGTATTCTGTAGGTGGAATTAACTGCGATCTCTGTTTCCAGGAAAGCAATTGAGACGGCGCTGAAGAGCAAGGAGAGGGGAGCCGTGCTCAGCACCCATCACCTGGACGAGGCCGTGGCCACCTGCGACCGCGTGGCCGTGCTGGTGTCGGGGCAGCTCCGGTGGGCGCTGGGATGGCACCGTTCACTGGGTCTCCTCCAGCTCAGACGCTATCATCGTCAAGGGCTTTTAGTTTACTCCTACTAATCTAATAGAAAAATGATCGTTTTGGGTTGCTTTGCCCAAAGTGTGTAATGACCATGGTGTATATAGATGAAGAATAGGAACTATAGGGTATATAGAGCTCTACAGTATGCAGAGTGCTACAGATCTGTAGAGTATCTACAGTATCTACATATAAAGCAATGTATCTCCTACTCTGCATCCAGAGATGGCATTTTTGACGCTCACAATGCCTTTTCTTTCATGACTGCTTTCCATTCCCCTTCTCTGCAGCTACATTGGCTCCGTGGAGGACCTGAAACGTAAGTTTGGTCAAAGCTACTCCCTGGAAGTCAGGATGAGGGACGCGGGACACAGAGACGCTGTCCACGCCGAGGTGCTGCGGCTCTTCCCCGCGGCAGCGCAGCAGGAAAGGTCACTGCTCTGCACATGATGTAGCTCTGGATAGAGGAGCAGCTCCTAAACACACTGCAGAGCAACAACGTGATGGGGTTTTATTTATTTTCTTTGTTAGTACTTCTTCGTCTTTGCTGGTCTACAAGATACCCATGGAAAATGTCCTTCCTCTGTCTCAGTCTTTCTCCAAACTCGAAGCAGGTAAAGAGTGAGGTGAATATGAAGATAGCTTGTAAATTCCTCCTTTGGGTTTCATCTGTAATTATTCCTTTTCTGTCCCTCCACAGCTAAACAAAACAGGAGGTTTGAGGAATACAGCTTGTCTCTGCGCACCTTGCAACAGGTAGGTTATGCAGAACTGGAGCGTGATGTTTAGGAGTYTGGGGCTTCATGCATACCAGAGACAAATATCCCAAAAATATGACTTAACCAGGCTTAAGGTGGAGCGGGAACGCCTTCCCCACCATATACTGAGTTAAGAAAGCAGGAATGTGCTGTGCCTTTGCTATGCTGAATGTTTCATTTGGTTTTTAAAGCCTATTTTATTGTTGTGTGGCTTGAAATGCATGAAAAATGACTGTTATGTTATCGGTCCAATCAGTTTTTTTGGAAAAGAAATAGTTACTGCAGTTAGAAAGACTCTTACAGTGTTGATTTAAAGCTTGGAAACGGGAATGCTGTGCATGTGAGAAATATATCTCATTTAAAATAAAGAAATAGCATAAATCTAGCTGGAAAAAAATATAGACAAGAGTAGAAATTAGTTTTATTAAAAAAACACAAAGTAGTATGATCAGTGTTGGTACTGCCAGGTCCTTGGAAGTAACGTGACTGTTTGTGTTCCTGTGCATTGCAGGTATTTGTAGACCTCACCACAGATTCCGAGGAGCATGACCAGGATGCAGCGTCCAGTGAAGCTCAGGATCAGAGACCTCTTCATCCCAGATACATTTAAGCCAGAAAGGCTTTTTTCAGTATTATTATTATTAATATGTGTGATTATTAGAGTCTCAAGACTTGGTTATCAGCATCACGACACATAGAGCTCCACAGGTTCTGCTGAACCAACAAATATACGTATTTTTTAATAAATAAAGCCTTGATTCTCTGCCMGATCGGTATCTGCGGTTCATCTGTAACCCTGTCCAGACTGACTTGTGAGGCTTGTTTTTCTGAGCAGTAACATGAAGAAATGTTACTTCCCAAGCCATCTCATTGGAACAAGCTGAAGGACCCCACGCTGCTGCTGGAGGAGATCTCGCTCCTCCATGGTGGGCACAAAGCAGACCTTTGGCTCATGGCTGAGAACTTCCCCCTCACCAGTGCAATACTGGTGTATTTTGGAGCTCAGGACAGTGTTTTGTCCCTCCAAAGCGGCTACTTCTGTGCGTTTCAGATGCTCTTGGGCTAGCCTAGCCTGTCTCTGGTCCCCATCCCCATGTAAGTGGAATTCGGGAGCCAAAGGTGAGGAGATGGGTGCAAAGCTGTTACCTCCTCTTTTTCCTCTATGTTAAGTTCAAAGACTTTGTGCGGAGCATCTGCAAAGGGTCCATGTATGGGGCCATCTGCAAAGGGTCAAGCCGCTGAGGCTGGAGCTCTGCTGCTCCCCCAGGGCAGCCCAGCTGGATGCAGGCGGATGGTGCAGGCAGATGCTGAGGTGGAGGATGCAGGTAGAGGATGCTGGTGTGGATGATGCCAGGCAGACGCCAGCAGAGATGTTGCCGAAGGTGGAGGATGCCGGCATGGATGATGCCCGGGCGGATGATGCCCGGGTGGAAGAGGTGACGTGACCACAGGGGCACAAGCAGAGCGGGCTGGTGGGTACCAGCAGGTGGCTGCAGCGGCTCAGCAATGCGCTGCTCCTGTAGGGAAAAGCAGCCCTGCAAACCCAAAATGCTCCTTTCCACAGTAATCTTTACAAGTAAGGAGATGAGCAGGGAAGTGGCAAAAACCTGATCTGTCTACTCCATTGCTCAAAACAACTTTTTTTTTTTTTTTTTTCCCCTGCTTTGTCAGGAGGGGTTGGCAAAAGGACGAAGGGTTTCAAGGATGTATAATCAAGGGCAAGTCTTAACTGGATTCTGTGTCTTGACTTACGCCTCGAAACCTCCCTTGGTCTGGCTGGGACATCCACACGTTATCTAAACCTGGTTATTGGTGCCGTTTTCTCTCCGCAGAGCAAAGGGGAGCAGATCTGGCTCCCTCCGTGTCCTCAAGCCCAACCTCTGTCCTGCACAGCCGCCCGCTGCTCCCTCCCACCGCCAGCTTTTTAAGCCTTGCTCAAAGGGAAGCCTGGACGCACGAGGAGGAGCAGGGATGCTGCGGAGCCGGGGAGCTGGGATCACGGTGAAAACCCAAGGTTTCCCATTATTTTACAGTTTATGAGCCCTCCTGCAAGCTGAAGAGTGCGRGAGATTTATTAGCACTGATCTCCTCAAAAGAGTTGTTTGCAGATAAAACCGCAGTGTCCGGAGATAGAGAGGAATCAACATTGGCTCCTCCACCCTGAGCGCCGTGTCCCGATCCTCCTTGCAGCTCGAGCCGCTGCTGCTGCACCGAGGAACAGAGCGCAAYGCGCCAGAAAAAGGGGTTTTGTAACATTTGTTGAAAAGTTTTTGGCTTTTTTTTTTTTTGGTTGGTTTTTTTTTTTTTGTTTTCCCCCTTCTTGGCTAAGTCTCAAGTATTTCCTGAGCAACTTTTCCGAGAAGCTGCTTCAGCGCCTCCACAACAATACACTCCGTTGGCTTTTTTTGATATAAATAAACCCGAAGATGTGCCTGGGGGAGAGGGAGAGCGGGGAGGAGGAGAGGAAGGCAGCGAGCAGTGAGGCACGGGCCTGAGGAATGTCCCTGGGCAGCCAGTGAAGGAGAGAGGAGCCCTGCGACGGGCACATCCACGGGCATCTCCAGGCACATCCCCAGTTACGGCGGACACAGGATCCTTGTCAAGCCCTCCTGTTAAGGTAAGATCTCATTTTTCTTCTCTTTTTCTTCTTTTTTTTTTTTTTTTTTTTGAGGATGCAAGAATTATTTCAAAGTGAGCGATAACATCTGGTAATTAATTGCACCATAAATAATTGGATTTGAGGGTGCGAGTGCATGGGGTAGCTCACCGGGGGTCCTTCATTCTAAAAGGCTCCATTAAGCTGGTAATTAAGAGAGGAAAACCACAAATATGAGTATTTGGAAGAAGATAGCTGCAACGTGCCTGTCAGCATCACGAGATAAAGGAAACAGGAGAATAGGCATCCTCCTTTTATATGATGCAGAGGTTTGAAAGGATTACATGTAGAAACTTGCCAAAGTTTCTATGACTTATTTGATTCCAAAAGACCAGGAAAACATCGCATCTGAAAGTGTGTTTTAGCTGCAAGGATGCTGCAAGAGCAGGTTGGCGTTTCACGTCTGAGTATTTAGTCCTTTTACTCTATTCAAATATTCCTACTTGTTTTATTAACAGCTCGCATATCTCGTATACAAAATTGACTGAAACAACCCTCTTTGTGCCTAGTTTTTCTAAGCTTCTCATGCCACCATTAATGATTATCCAGGCAGTAAATTCTTGTTTTGCTTTGGCCAGAGCTATTGAGAGGCTGCTGCCAAGTTCCTCCCAGCCCGGACGGTGACAGTTCTCCGAGCGCCAGTCCAAGGGTTTGTTCTTTCRTTACTCCAAGCTGCTTCCCCCTGACACCCTTCAGGATGAGCTCAGCCTCTGCTGCCTCCAGGAGTTGCTTAACACCTCTTGGTGTGAAGCCTGTAGCCCGTTTGAACGATTTTTTGGCATTTTGAACGATAAAGTTGTCATTTCTTGGACATGAAGGCCACCCAAACCAATGAGATCATGCAGTCTGAGCTTCCCATTACATTTCATAAATACCTCCTCCCAGTTTAAGAATTTGAGTTGCAATGGATAGTTGAGCTCTCCAAAATAAGGAGTAGCCGCGTGTACTATGCACTGGCATAAATGCAAAGGTCGTATCAATAAAACAGTCACAGTTGTTCTTTTTTTTTTCTTGCATTTGAAGGTAATTTAAAAAAATAATTGTAGGTTCAGAGATGAAGAGACTTCAGAGAAATATAAGCATATTCCAGCAAACAAAAATCCTCTTGTGGAAGAATGTACTTGTCAAATGGAGGATGAAGAGGCAGAGCTTTCAGGCAAGTTAAAATACTGAAAACAAAACAGTGCAAAGCTAAACACTGAGGAGCCTTTCTTTAAAACGCAGATTTTTTTCTGCAAATGTAAAATTCCCAGCTGGCAATGAAGACTTTGTGAGACTTTGTGAGACTTTGCTTTCACAAGAAATTGGGCTTGTGTCATTTATGGAATGCATGATAGCACTGATGGGCTCTTTGGGCAGGGAAATTCACCCAAGTGACATGCATAGTGCCAAGATATCCTTAGTTAATCCACCTCTAAAAAGCCAACCTGACCAAGTGCCTCTTTTTTAGGTCTTAATTCCACAGAGAACGTGCTCTCTCTTATTATTATTATAAAATTCCCTTATATTATTGAATTCCCCTCTCCATTTTTCTCCTTACCTAGGAGTGGACCCTGTCTCTACTTTTTCTGCCTCTGTTATTTGTAATAAGTTTGTTTACAATGAAAACGCGCCATCCAGAAGTGCCTTACAGTTATCTTGGGCAACTTGATGATCCTGTCTTTGATACTACTGGGGTTATTGTGGCTTACACACCCGTGACGGCAACCACAAGGCAGATAATGAACAAGGTGGCCTTGAAATCCGTAATGACAGGTATGTTTTGTCTTTTAAGTATTTAAATTTGTCATTATTTAACCTATTGTACCTGTGGTGTGCTTTCATGGGGTTGAAGTATCTTCAGCCAATAGAAAATTCCTCTCAAATCTCTCATTTCCTCAAATATTTATTCTAGTAGATAACACATAAGTAGTATATACATGACTAAAGAGCTCAGCTTATGCCTCTGAGAACAGCAGCTCTACCTTATAAGATACTCACTATATAGAATAAYACTATTAAGATGTATTAGTTCATTATTTTGAGGAATTCTTCTTCTCAGCTGGTTAAGTGTGAACTACCTAAAGGTGCTGCCAATGTAACTTACCCAGATAGAAGAACCATAAAGGGAGAGTTGCAAAGCTGACAAAAGCAGAATACACAATCAGTGCCCATGCTTACATTTTCAGACTTGCAGAAACTCATTGCAATGTTTTTCTTCCAAACCACAGGTATAAATTTAGAGGCAATGGAAAATGAGAGAGCGCTGGAGCAAGCGTGGATTTCAAATAACAGAATTATAGGGGTTGTATTCAAAGACAACTTCTCCTATCGCCTCAGGTTTTCTACTTTCAGTTTAGTTATTCCAAATGAGAAGTTTGGATACATAGGTAATTCAAAATAAATATTTATGGACATATGTTTGCCTGGCTTGGTGAGACGTAGCTTTGTTGGAGTAATCCACATGCACCAACCTTTCATCCTTGCAGATACCTGTTATAACTTCTCAGAACAATACTGCTACAGCCCAAGATACTGGTACAAAGGTTTCCTGTCCCTGCAGTCCAGTATCGATGCTGCTATTATAGAGGTAAATCCAATTCATGAAATGAAGGGGTCTTCCTTTTATTTTATATGCTGTGTAGAAAAGGCAAAGTGTTTATGACAATAGAAAGGGACCGAAAATTCTGCGGAAGATAAAGTATCTGAAGTTGTTTCAGATGCCTCAGAGGCTTTGGGAATGTTATTGGCAGTGGCAGCAGGAACTTGGATGGAATCCGAAGTTTCTCCATCTTGAGGTTCCCTGTGAAAAACTTCCAATTTTGCTGTCAAGATTTGTGTTTACTGTTGTTTCTGCTCAAGATTGCAATTGCTCTTAAAGACTGTGACCCAAATGCAATACTGCTGTTTGCTTAAGAGAATATCCCAGATTGCAAGAAGCAGAGAGCTCTAGCTGGGACCGGGCCCTTATCCAGGGTGGTGTGAATGTCTGCTGGATGCCATTCTTTTGGAATAGGCATGTCTGTCATTTCTTGCCCTTTCTTTCCAAATTGTACCTCAAAAATGTGTCTGGATAGGGGTCATTTGGTTTGGCTATGCAGCCATCTAGACTGTTTTCATACTCATGAA